GATGTTATTCAGTACCCTGACTCCAGAGTTTGGTAGACGGACCTTTTTGTAATCATTTGGTCCACTTGTCAGGAGGTATCAGCAATTGTCTGCCGATTTTCTCATTTTCATTATTTTTATATTAAGTTAAAAAATAATTTATGCACATTTTATTGGTGCTTTCATCTTGCTTTTTATCACAAGGCTTGTACTTTTTTACATTTGATGGCATTCTGTTTGCATAACACTTAATGTCAAATGACCTGAGATTACAAGAAAAATTAGAGATATATTAAGAGTAAATATTTTTTACATCTGGAGAAAATAGACTTGATGTTTCTTGATTGAAATTAATTCTCTTTTAAAAGAATAAATTTCTGTGAAAACTTTGCATGATTTTTATTTATTTATTTTTTTTAAAAATATAAGTTCACAGCAATTTAAAAAAACTTATCTCCAAAAATTGTTAATACAAAAAAAAAAAAATAATTCTTACAATTCAAAATACTTTAAATAACCCATAAAGGATTGATAACCTGTAAAAAACAATCAATCATTAGCTGTTAAAAATTACTGCATATATAAATTTTATTTTTTCTCCCAATTATTGTTATTTTCTGCTTTTTCACAGAGTTGGTTTGTTTTTATCACCAAGCTTCATAAAAATCTTTGAAAAAGTTTAAACTTTGTGTTGGCAATAAAATGGTGTGTCAAAAGGGCAGTTTTTCCCTTGACACTGCAATTATTTTGTACTACCTTAACTGCCTTGCCAATGTTTATTGTTTTAAAAAGAGATGATTGGAATTTTAATAAAACCCAAGCATAAAGGAATAAATATTAAAAATATCTGTCCTATAAAATTTTACTAAATCATAAAAATATTTAAACCAATGAAATGTTTATTATTTAGCATTTTATAAAGTTAAAATCACTTGGCAATTCTTCGACCTAATACAATCATTCCTGTCAAACCGTGAATTGAAGGTTGTTCTCAACGGATTCTCCTCCAGTTCCTATCCCACGAACGCAGGTGTTCCCCAAGGCTCCATTCTTGGCCACACTCTATTCCTTATTTTCATCAACGACCTTCCTGACGCCATAGGTTCCCAAGTTGGCATCTACGCGGACGACACTACAATTTACTCCTGCCTCAAAAACAAATCTAGTGTCGCTGACAAAACTAACCTGGCCGCTCATCTTGAAATGGACCTCCAATTGGTTGTTAATTGGGGCAAGAATTGGCTGGTCAACTTTAATGCCTCAAAAACTAAACTGCTCTCTATTGATCACTATAGAGATCTTTTCCTGCCCCCCCATTAGAATGTCTGATGCTCAACTTCTTGAGAGCAACTCTCTGCATCTGCTCGGTCTCACGTTGACTGCTGACCCGAGATGGAACAAATACATTGAGTCAATTGCTTCATCCACTGCAAGGAAAGTTGGCTCTCTGTGCCATGCCAGGAAATTTTTCTCCCCGAAATCGATACTTCAAATAATACAAATCAACCATTTGCCCTAGCATGGAGTATTGCTGCCATATATGGTCTGGTGCACCTTCTGTTTACCTCGGAGTTCTTGACAAGATCCAGAGGCAGATATGTAATATAATTGGCCCTGATATGGCATCTCGTCTACAGTTGCTATCTCACAGACGCGCCGTCGCCTCTCTCTGTCTTTTTTACAAATACTTTCATGGTAATTGCTCTGATGAGCTGCTTTCACTGGTTCCCAGACTTCATGAATTCAAGCGCCCTAGGAGGCTGGCATCCCACTCTCACCCTTTCACTGTAGAAGCTTTTAAATGTAGCCATCTCTTCTACTCCAATAGCTTCATATCTCGCACCTCTCGCCTGTGGAACACCCTTCCCTATTACTGTTTCCCTGAGAGCTATAATCTCCAACTATTCAAATGTAATGTCAATTGACATCTCCAGTTACCTTGATCTATCCACTATCCTTCTTCTCATCCTTTCTTCTATCACTCCTATCTGCTCTCGCTCCAAATCTTCTGCAGCCCCCTGCATCCTAGTGGCTTCCCACCTTGCTCAGGGCGTAATGCTTAAAAAAAAAAAAAAATTCACTGATGTTTTGTCAGACATTCCAAAGAACACAATTTGTTGAAAATTTTGTTGGTTTTTATGAATTTTTGAATAAAAAGATTCCTCTTCAAATTTCTTTCTTTATAAACTTATAAATAGTTATAAAATGGTAAATATTGCATTCTAGTTGGTTCACATATTTATATAATCTTGTAAATGAACATTGCCGAGGGAGTATCAGAAATTTAAAGTAATCATAATGTCAACAGAAACAAAAAAAAACATTTTGAAAAACTGTTTTTTGTGGGCACAAAGGTTAAACATTGCCAAAATCTCCCATTCATTGAGACATTACAGAGAAAGGCAATAAGATACTAGTCTGTCCTAGAAATGTTGTGACATTTGGTGTGGGAAATGTCTCTTCAAATATAAGAGCTAATATGGAAACAGGGTGGTATAAATAGTGTTGTAAACTAGGGAAGGTTATGGAATAGAATAATCACACAAAGGTTGGTAATGAACAATAATACTTAGGACAAGAACAACACATATAAGATTTGCCAGTGGTGCATAGAAGAAGTCGTCAACTGCTAGAAGTGAGTCAAGTGAATTCCACAATGAATCTCCTACTGCAAACCAACATACAGTATTTACTACTGTATTTATGTGAATGGAGACATGCCCATTATTGTCTGTAGATATGCTACAACAAATAGGTAAGGCTTGTCATTAACATTCATTTAAAAAAAAAAGATTTACCTGAAGAACATCATGATTGTAAGATTTTCACAAAAATTAAAGCATTAAAAGTCTAATATTTTATATTGTTTTACTTACCGAATCTATCAAATATTTTATATTGTTTTTCTTAGCGAATCTATCGAATTTCATTTCCAAGATGAGTAATTGTAAATATTCTTATATTATTTTAAACTATTGTTCTCGTCTTGGTTTATATAGATTTTATTATAGACACAACATTTCAACCAAATACCCTCTGGTCATCATCAGGTGTCCATTGATTGGCTGATATGGGATTTTTGTTGAGATGACTAAGTGTCAATATTCTTATATTATTATTGTTCTTATCATACCCAATGTCAAAATTGTGTGACATTGAATACAAAAGGCTCCCAAAACTACTACTAACGTCCTTCGGGACTTTGGCATAACAGATATAGGAGTTGGTTATACATGTGTTAGTGTCATCTTGTGGTCTTGAGTTCAGTCCTTGTAGGGAAGCACCAATTCAACAGGAACAAATGAATGACATCACAGGGACAAAAATTTTACAATAATCAACAGGTATCCCATATCAATCAATGGGCACCTGATGATGATCAGAGGGTACTTGGTTGAAACATTGTATCTATAATAACATCTATATCTGTTAAGTTGTTAAATAACTCAAATGTATGTTTACTACCCAGCGCAAGTTTACATTACCTGAAGGCTATCAGTTCAAAGCAGAGCGAAATTCTGGTGCAAAAAAAGAAAAAAAAAGACATCAGTAAATTATAAAAATACATTAATATTTGATGATGAGAAATGCTACAACCATTGAAAAATGGAAGTCAAGATATGGCAGTTAGCGATTAACCTAGACAAAAAGAAGAGGGTATTGGTATTAATGCTCTCACTTTGCAGTAAACCCTGAGATGTGCTGGGTTGTAAATATATATTTGAACTATTTAACCTTTAACATGCTGCATTATTCATTATTTTCCTTTTCACTGCATTGTTTTTCAAGCACTGCTTAATTTCAGTCATGGTCATTTTCTGTTTCCATAGCAGGATATGACAACACAACTGCAAATTTCAAACATGGTATTATTCATTCATCTGAGTAACTTTTTTGCTTTGTAAACAAAATCACCTCCAGAGTGTTAAAGGTTAACAACAATATCAACTAAGATATGAACAATAGTTCAAAATAATACAAGAATATTACTGAATGTAATACAGTATCTTTGGAATTGACAAATAGGTTATGCCGTAAATATTGATATTTATACAACCTTTGCATTTTTACAATTGTAAAGTTGCAAGCTAAAAAAAGATTTTCCAATTGGAAGTAGAACATCGAAAATTCTCTTCTCAGTTGTCTGTTCATTGCTTGCCTACTGCTGGCCTACTTACTGAAATTCTTCTGTTCTGAGCAGATGTTGAAGTGATTCCGTTGCTAATTAAAAACTTATAAGATTATTTAAACTAGTAGCTACTATTATAAAAGATGAAATTATTTATTAAAAATTACTTAAAAAAAAAAAATAAAAAAAAAAATGAGTTGATTAATTTAAATAGAAAAACATTTTCTCTTTCCTTTAAAAGAGATGATATCCGTGGATGGTACCATATTGGCAAATTGAAAATTCTGGGTAATGTACCAATCTCGTCTTCCCTAGCTGTGGGTTAAATAGAGTAGGCTTGAGCCTTGGAAGTGCATCCAGTCTAGAAGGACAAAATTGAATTCAGAAACAATGTAGAAGTTAGCAGGAAACCACTACTTTTCCCAAGAACAGTTACAGCAATTCACAGGGGGGGAAAAAAAAAAATAAAAAAAGACTTTGGAGAGCTCTTATTGTTTCTACCCCCAAATGTAGATGGATTTAAAAAAAAAAAAAAAAAAAAAAAAGAGACTTAAAAGAATTACTTCTCATCGATTTAAGAAAGTGAAAGTCTTCCATCACTCTGTTTCCTGTATTGATTTGTAGCTTTCATGTCTGCTGGCTTTTACTCCATATTCTTGTTTTAAGATTTTGGTAGGTGCTGATTACAGTTGAAGTAGTAAGATGTGTAATTTCTGCTGACAAGGTGCAGAAAACAAGCTTCTCAAATGACTGCAAGGAACTTGGATAATTCTGATGCACTATTTTCTAATTTGAAATCTGTGTCAAAAATTTATATTTATTACCAGCTATCATGCATTTTAAATTGAATTTTCTTTTTTCTTTTTTTTCCAGATCATCAGAAGATACCATCATGAGTATGCTGACAGTGGAGGAGTGTGAACTCCTGAGTGATTCAAAGTATCGCTCGTATATTTCTCAGGTAGATAAAGCCCTGAAAAGTTTTGAGACAACCAGCGAATGGGCTGATCTTATTTCTGCCCTTGGCAAACTAAATAAGGTAAGTTGTTCTGTTTGAGATTAGAATAATCAGGTAACTCTTCTTTTAAATTGGGAATAATATTAGTTCATATACCGTGTTTCTCACTATATAAAACATCATTCTAAAAATTAAAACTTTGGTTAGAAGAGATCTTTATGTAGATATTAACATCTCTGTTTGATATACTTGTCCTCTGATGAATTATAAGGGCATCTTATACTCTTGGAAATACAGTGTGTATGTGTGTGTTTCTTCTTGGTAAATTAAAAAAAAAACTAATTATGTTTATGAAATTGCCAGTAGGATAAATGGGATTTAGTTCAATTTGATAAGAGTAAATTTGTAGAATCACAGGACCAAAGTTTAACCTTTAACCTTCATTTAAAAAAAAAAAAAAAGAAAAAAAAAAGAGCTCTTCTCAGGTGATCTGATTCCATGGACATGACCTTTATGAAAAAGATAAAACATGTGGAATACAAGGTTACATCAAATGCAAATTTTTCGATCTTAAATTCTATAAGTGTATGTTTTATGAATATGTGGACATGAAAAAATGCGTTTGGTGGGTCCTTTCAGATATGATCCATATTTTCAACTCAGTTACCAAAAAGTAGCATCTGCCTTCTATTTAAACATTTTTTTTGCTACCATTCTATCCAATTTTGACATTTGTGGAAAGTTCAGAGGGAACCTTTCTTGAATTGTCTTGCAATTATCAATCATAAAATTTATTTCCATCTATAAGACATTATCAGGTAGGCTTTCATCTTGGATCAATTTCAGTTACTGTTTTTGAATGGGACTATACACATTACTTGTGCACGTCATTTGTAATTCTCTTTGCTTCGTTGGTTTTATAGGATGAGTTGGTGGCGAAAATTGCTGACCCTCCCCCATTTGTGTAAAGTAAACATGTCATGACCAGAAGTTCATTTGATATTGGCATTGCCTACAGTTCACTTTTTGCATAAGTTTCAGAATGTCACAGTCCACCACATAAGCAGTTGTTTCTACCCAACAGTCTTCCCTGCTATTTAACCCATAGCTGGGGTTTCACTGATTTATTAGTTAGTAATCAGTAATTTAAATGCTCTCAATAAAGATTGGCAAAAGAAAAAGAAAAAAAAATCAATGAAAATTTAAATTCATTATGTTTCTAAGATAATGATTCTTAAGCCAAGGAGGAAATTGTTTGATATAATAAACAAGAATAACGAAATAAGAATAACATTAATCATTGAAAAAAGACCATTACTGATTAGCCAACAAATGCTATGACCAATTAACTTAGTAAATATGTAATTAAAAAATTAGAATAAAATCCCTAAAGATACGATTTAAAATTGGGCTATTGTTCGGTTGCCAGTTATGTGTTGGCACAAACAGGGCTGTAGTGCAAGCGTCTCATGCCCCCCCCCCAATCTACGATACCCTCCTCAATTTTCGTAAGGTAATATTTATATAAGGTACAAATTTTATTGTAGCCTAATTATGTACAATAATGGATAATATGCCATATAGGTGAACACTTCAACGACAAAAGTTGAAAACAATTACAATGTATCTAAATAAAATGTAGAGTTATGTCATACACTCCAAATAAATCTATAATGTTTTGTAATAATTTTTAACATCAGCTTTTTTTGAGACTAGCATGAGCAAAAAACAAATTCACGGATTTGGATAAAAAAAAAAGAAAGAACCCAACATATTAAAATCCAGGAAAGGTTTTCATCCTTTAATAATTGTGCTTAGTTTAATTAATAATGCATATAAATGTAGGTAGAAGAAAGCAAATGTTAATAAGATAGCAAGGACACTTGGCACAGTGTATAAAGGCATTGGTTAGATCCAATGACAGGACCCAAAGAGTGTGAGTTCAATACCCGGTTAAGGCAGTGGAGAACTTTCAGAAGGAAATCAACAGGAGATAACTGATAACTGACATCCATTAAACATGGCACATGGAACTAGAACAGTCTACCCCAGTGAGCGAGATAAAGGGTTCAGTTAGACATTCCAACCACCTGAAGAAGGCGAATTGTTACAAAATGGCCCTAAACGTTGTAATAAATATGGCGATAAAGATGAGGACAATAGTCCGAATAATGTACATAATACCTCATCTCAGAAATATAGACACATACTAAAGATAGCAAGGGTTAGAAGGTTCGGGATTCGGCGACATTACTTGCTGGCCCTGGGCACAACACTGGTTCTGTTGTGTAAGATGCTTATTTTATACTTGAATGATTCATAGGTTAGGGTTATGTGGCTTAACAAATTATTGCTCTGAAAATGGTCAAGTAGAAGGACTGGAATGAAAAAGAAGCGAATGTCCAAAGAAAATCTTTGATAGACTTTCAGAATGTCTGAAGAACTGTTATCAAGACCACCATAAAACTTTACAAGAATGCCTGTTTCCTTGGTAACAAAATAAAAAGAAATGACGGGTGGCTCAAGACTTTGTAAAGTAAGAATGTATATATAAAAATCAATTAGAATCTTGAAGTTAGGTGTGAATTTGATAATAAAAAGGTATTAAAAATAGTGATGGTAGATATTAACAGCCTATTTTTACCAGTTTTGTACATTGAAGCTTGTTTGAATTGCCAAAAAAAATACACTTTTTTTTATTTTTTTTTTTTTTTAAATCAGGTGCTGCTGTCTAACATGCGATATGCAGTAATTCCAAAACGGGTTACAATAGGGAAACGCCTGGCGCAATGTCTCCATCCTAATCTTCCAAGTGGTGTGCATCTTAAGGCTCTGGAAACCTATGATATCATCTTCAAGAGCATTGGTCCTTGCCGTCTCTCTCAGGACTTGTTTATTTACACTGCTGGTCTTTTTCCGTTGATGGGTCATGCTGCTATGAATGTGAAACCTGTTCTTCTTGACCTTTACGAACGACATTTTGTGCTGTTAGGGAAGCATATCAAGCCAGGCCTTAATGGACTTCTCTTAGGTTTGTTGCCAGGGCTTGAAGAAGGATCAGAGTTTTCTGGCAGGTAAGTTATTCTTTTGTTGCATGTGACCAATTTTCATGCTTTGGTTCAAGCCTCAGTTTACTTTCATGGTTATTCTGTCCATTTTGTTGACAATCCTGATAAATGTGGCCTGAAGTTCTGAGATTAAGTATTTTCATTATTTCACAAATTATTCAGGTTTGTATCTTCCTCTTGGGTTTTTATCACAAAGATTTGACTGACTGAGGGATTGAACTCAGTTACTATGCCACCACATTCACAAACCAATAACTAATAACACTTGAGGATTATTATATTCACTTACAAGCAAATACCCTTGGAAAAGGTATGAATACATCTCTTCTCTCCTCATCTATGGGTTAATTAGTAGAACTTGTATCAGTAAATCTCAAAAAAAAAAAAATGTTATAATTTAAAAATACAGGGTATAGCAGAAATACCTCCCATACTAGTAAGACATTAGTTAGATGAACACACATTGGCAATAATGTCTTACCATTATGCGGAAGGTATTACTGCTGCACCATTGATTTTCTGGCTTTAAAGGACCTGCAAAATGTTAAGCTGTAAAAATAAAAAAATGAATTAAGGTATGGAACAATCTATTATGACCTCAAGTAGATTAATACGAATGTAAGTAATCTTAAAGATTGAGATGCCAATGCTTAAAAGCTGAAAACAAATTCATTGGATAATAATCATCAATCTCTTGACTGCTTTAGTTGTCAGGGGGACCTAAGAGCATAAGAAACGGGTAATCTCATCCAGGATAATCTGTTGGCACTGGCTCTCAGGAGTTCTGGCATTGTCATGTCTGCCCATCTCTTGCATTGGACTTCCTGCTTGCATCTGCCTTCAACAGTACCTTGCATGATGGTCTTGCAGAGGCTGTTAATGCTGTATGACATGGCCAAAAAATGACATCTTCCAACACTTAATAGTGCCAAGGAGAGATTCCTGCCAGCCCACAAATCTTTTGGCCTTGCTCTGTACATACTCAGTTGGATAATAATAATATTTGTTCTCAAAAATTCAAAGATTTTGTGTTGATCTTGGAAGTCATTATGATTCTAACTTGGTGCTCAAGAAGTGTATCTTTATCCAACAAATATGACAAGTGCTACCTTCAAGCAATAGTTATAAAGTCATTGCTCCTGATTTTATTCCGCACTGGGATTGTGGCCAAAATTTGATTCATTGATGTTTTAATCTATTGGGCCAATTCTGGATTGTTAGTTGCAACTAGATGACCAAGAATTGCAGATGTCATCAAAAGGCAGATGTAATTCCTACAAGTGGCATTAATGTCTGCTTGAAAGATTACCTTAAATGTTTCTAATAAGGAAACAGCAAATTTTATAGAGATTGTTATCAATATACTTACAAGTCTATCTTTGGAACTTTTATTCCTATACTTGGGCTTATGGCAGCATTATGTTGAAACACCAGTTTGCATACAATCATCAAAGTTAAACAATGTTGAGCCTGGTCAGTATCTAGATGGGTGACCGCTTCAGAATACCAGGTGCTGTAAGCTTGAATGTGTGGGTGGTGTAATGGATAATGGCTTGAAATTGTTATCCCTTTCCTCGGTGTATATACTTTTTTACTGAAAGTGTCTTTTTCAGGCAACATGGACAAATAAATGTCCAAAACATAACATTTAAAAACTGGCTACAGACATGTTTATAAGTTGATCTTGATCCTTTTTATGCCCTTCTGAGCTTGAAACGGGTGCAGCTGTCAATTCATACACCTGGTAGAGGTGTTAGCCACTGCTCGGGTACTTCAAGATGCCACAGTTTCTTAGTTACTGTATTAAAAACAAATAAAAGATCTGTCTGCAAATGAAATGTTTTGTCCCAAAATAATTGGTGGGTAAAGGGTTAGTCAGAGGGCTAAGTTTCAACTTTTATTGGGTTTGTTATATTCACATATACCCTTGGGAAAGGTATTAATTCACCTCTTCTCCCCCAGCTATAGGTTAATTAGTAAGACTTGTATCCATTATTATCTACAGGGTGTGACAGAAAGGTTACCCCAATTTCTCAATTTCCCAATACTTCATAGAGATAGAAAGTTTTTTTTTTTATCTTCATATGTTTGTTTTTTATTAACCTTTGAAATCAGGGCAACCTTTCTGCCCCACCCTATAGAAAAAAAAATAATAAATAAAATTGCATACAAAATATGTAGGTTTCAGCATTAAATGAACCATAGAGGTTGGTATATTGATCCTCTAAAAAAAAAAAAAAACAACCAACCAAATTTCTATGTTTACATGATCTTTATGTTTGGTGACAATCATGACTTTCCTGTCCTTTCCTTCTTTCCTTCTTTCCTGTCCTTTCCTTCTTTCCTGTCCTTTCCTTCTTTCCTGTCCTTTCCTTCTTTCCTGTCCTTTCCTTCTTTCCTGTCCTTTCCTTCTTTCCTGTCCTTTCCTTCTTTCCTGTCCTTTCCTTCTTTCCTTCCCTTCTTTCCTTCCCTTCTTTCTTTTTCTCACTGAAAACAAGTAGCGTCTCTGATGTTTGTCCGTGCAATCAAAATGGAAGAAAACCTACCTTCTAATCTACCTAACATCTTACCATCCACCATTTACTTCAAAGTAATTCCCTGCGTTAATTTGACAAACATCAACAAAAGTCTGTACTACATTTGGTCTGTGCATGCTGTTCAATTTCCCTAAAATGTTGGGTTGCATGTTTCAAATATTTAATTTCACTTATTGCTGTGTTGATTGTTTATTTTCTCTTTTTTTTTTTTTTTCAATTTTTTGTTAAACATTCTTATTTGCAGAACAAATGCCTTGTTAGAAGAATTCAGTGAAGTGGCTGAACGTAGTTACTTTTACACATGTGTCTGGGAGTGTATCTATTCTTTCCCTGCCATCCGTCTTCAGGCCATCACCTTTCTGCTTGCGCATTACAATAAAAGGCAGACAATGGAAGATCAACTGTACATGATGGGTCATAACATTGACCTCATGGTAAGTTTTCTCACTTTTTTCAGCTTCTTCTACATATACTTTTCTCTAAGGTGAAAATGTATTGAAAGCGCACTAATTTCAGACTTTCATAGTAAATTCATATCCAGGATCATATGAAATATCTCCATTCCTAACAAAACTAATGGATCTATTCCAATATTTAAAAATAATAGTAATAAAAAATCTATAGAAAGCTGAATGAATTCACCTAAGGTTATTCATTTAAATACAGCAGGAGACAAAAATTAAAAGAACAAAATCAACAAAAAACAGACTCTTCAATATAAAACAGGTTGTTTAAAAGTTTTTAACCTTGTAAAGAAGAGATTTGAGTGGGCGGGAAATTTAGATGTTTGGTCAGATTTTTGGAAGTGGGTGGCCAAAAGTTTTCAGCACCTCCTTGCACTTTTATAATTATTGTTTGATTGATTTGTCAGACACAAATTTCCGGTATTTCTGCTCAGTTTGGATCATAAGTGATTGTTAGTGCAAACTGACAAGAAAACAAAACAAAAAAAAAAAAACTTTTTTAAATTCCACCCATCCCCTTTAAAAAACAAAAAAAACTTTTAGTGTCATTTATAGTTAGTTATTCTAAATTAGAATCCAATTTGAATTCACAGAATTTCACTATTTTGTCAAAATTACTTTTTAATTTCAGCTGACGGGAATCAACCTTGAGAAATTTAGTTCAGGCAGTACACTTTCTATCTCACATTAGAACATTATTATTTTTTTTTTTCCGAAACATTTCATTCTGAGCGAAGTGATAACACCACTAAAATGCAATGGGTTTACTGATAGTGCAAGAATTTTAGAAAAATCTTTATTGAGAGGACAATAAAAGGACAGGATTCAAGGAGACAGAAGATTAACATGCATTAAATTTTTGAAGATCAAAGTTGACTGAAAAGCAAGAAACTGGAAGAGGGTTCCACAGGTGAGAAGTGTGAGTGAAGAAACTGTTACCATAGAAACTATGGTTGCATCTAGCAATTTCAACTATAAAATGAGACCTAGCTGTCAAAATAGTACTGCATTAAGTCGTAATACCACAGATACATCTGAATGTATAGGATCCCTTTTCTAAAATAAATCCTTGTAAATTTGATTAGTGAATAAAAGCATAAAAATGATTGAATAGTTTTTTGCTGTAGATGTAGATATTTTGATATTCATGCATAAAAAAAGAATAACTTAATGAGGATCGAACCACTTTTAATTAGTAGGAAGCTTGACACCTCTGTTCATTAAGTGGTTTGATCCTGGTGCTGTATTTAAGCTATGCCAATTTCTCATTTGTCAGTTTTTTTGTATCAGGTGCCTCATGAAGCCATGTCACTTTGAATGAGAAATTGCTGTTACTATTCCCTCCTATTGGATTTTGTATCTGCTCTTAGACTTAACATCAAGTTTGTGTATTTCATTGCTATTAAATTCACAGCCATTATCAGATAAAAGTTTTGCAGAGGCTCTAAACAGCTTAATCCAATAAACAAATACATTCTTTACTGTTACTGAAAACTTATAAATCGCAATTGCCATATAATATGGTGTTGCTAAGTTAATTATTACTAAGAAATAACTAAATATTTATAGGTTATTATTTTTGTTGATACATTGTAATGGAATGTTTTTGTTTTCTTTCTAGGTGCAGTCTGCATGTGCAGCAGTGCAGGACAGCAGTGTGCTTGTTCAGCGAAGCATGCTTGATTTTCTACTGGCTGCATTCCCGATGCACAATGGCCAACTGACCAAGCGTGACATGTTGAAAATTGTAAAGGCAGCAATTACTGTGATATTGCGCAGGGACATGTCTCTTAACCGTCGCCTGTATGCGTGGATGTTAGGAACAGATTGTAATGGCCTACCTCTCATTGGTATGTGTCCTTGATAATATGAAAAAAAATTCATTATATAGTTTTATGCAAGCACACTCTTAATTTTCTAATCTTAAAACAAAGATAAGTTGGTGTGTTTTAATATATGATTAAACTAATTTACCTGGAATTCTTCTCTAGACTTCTAAAGAAAGTAATTTCTGATTTCATTCATTAGTAAGTTTAATATCTTGTCAGTATCAAATTATCCTGTGACATAGTACAGTGTCCAGGAAACTTTTTGGGAAGTGGGCTAGAATTGGCATTTTTTTTTTGGTCTGTAAGTTGGTCTCAAAAATAAAATTGATATATATATATATATATATATATATATATATATATATATATATATATATATATATTTTAAGACATTTTTATATTTATACATTCTTTTTATAGATACAAATATTTAAGTAAATGCTCTGTTTATAATAAACAGTATTAAACAACATTTACTGGCCTGAATGTCCAAGAAATTTTCATAGAAAATATTCATCCTCTGGCAGGAATCAAAACTGTATCCTATATGGAACTGTCATATAGCCTGACATGCCTTTACTGTTTGGGCCACAGAGGAGTGTTACTGTCTTTAAACTACAATCGACCTTGGCCCAAGCAGTTAAAGCATGTCAGGCTATATGACGGTTCCATATAGGATACAGGTTCGATTCCTGTCAGAGGACGAATATCTTCTATGAAAATTTCTCGGACATTCAGGCCGGTAAATGTTGTTTAATACTGTTTATTACAAAAAGAGCCTTTACTTAAATATCTGTATCTATAAAAAGAATATATAAACATAAAAATGTCTTAAAATAATTTTCAGAATTTGTCCATTTCATAATATATAATAATATTGAACAAGGAATCCTTAAAAATCCATCATGGTAACAATTTATTTCATGGGATATTACCCAATCATTAAGACCAAAAGTACATTTAGAAATGGAGTTTAATTCATCCAAATACAAGGAAAAAGAAAAGGAAGAGACAAAAAAGGAAGAAGGAAAAAATGAGATAGAAAGTTTTAATGTTAAAAGGGAGAAACAAAGAAAGAAAAGAAATTAAAAGACAGATTTCAATATAACGTTTATTGGGGAAGAGAAAATATATATATATATATATAAACAGCTAAGTGACAAAGCCTTTTAATTGTATTAATTTTATATATATATATATATATATATATATATATATATATATATGAGCCAAATGATAACACAGACCTACAGCAATACACACGCTTACACATATCATACTCACTCACTCCCTAAGAACCAAATAACACACACACAAACACTAAACAGAGACACATCCCCTCACCAGGTCCAATAAAACTGTCAAACTGACCAGAGAATTCAGGATAAAATGTATCTATCCAGTTCTTATCTCAAATAACAACTTAAGAGACTGTTTGACCAACACAAGGAATGTTAAAAGATTCATGTGAAAAAGATAAAAAAATAAAAAAACAAATGAAAACTACAGACAAAAGTTCATTTTCTCCAACAAAAGACATTCATTTCTGTAGTTCACTGCTAACAGCAAGCAGAAATATTTCTCCTGATGATGGCCATTTCGGTCGAAACTAGTCGAGGAATCTAAATGGAATAATAATAATAAAAAAACGAAAGGATATTAATCTACAACCCAGTGTGTCTAATGATTTTAATTTTTTAATTTTTTATTTTCTTATTGTTCAAAATATATATATAATTAATACAAGTAAAAGGTTTGTCACTTAGCTGATTGATGTTACCTTCAGCATTCTGACTCAAGAGTTTCATCAATGGATCTGTGTGTCCACTCGTCAAGGGGTATCAGCAGTTGACTGCTTCTTGATTTTTATTTACACTTATCATTGGTGCAAGTTTTTTTTTATTTTTATTCTTTTTTCATGGTGTATGTGTGTGCTTTTGTATCCATTTGCCTTTCTGTGCAGATGTATGTACATGTAGAATCTCATGTTTATTTGTCCTTTTTGTTGGTTTTTTTTTTCACTTTACTCCTTAACCTCTTCTCTTTTTTTCCTCTTTTATTTGAATTGTTACCATTTGACTATCGTGTGTTTTTTTTTTTTTTTTAGACAGGCTGTTGTTAATTTTTGAAAGTTTTAGTCTTTTCTTGATTTAGGAAAATTGGATTTCATTATTTTATGTAATTAATTTTAATGCTTAAATAATAAAGTAAATATGTCTTCACTTGGCCATTATTTTTTTTTTCTTATTTGATTTGAAGGTATCTTAAGTACTATTAGGATATTGTAGGTTGTATAATTAAAATTTTATTTATTGTTGTTTGAATTTGTATGCATATACCTATATTCATATGTAAATGTGCACACACAAACACATGTACACTTTTGTACTTTGCTATTAATATATAAACTAGTGCTTAAATAGTAAAGTGATTTTTTTTTCTCCATATTTTTATGGTATTATGGTTGTTTGGTTTATAGAGTATTTTCTTTGTTGTTTGAATATATGTATATAGAGTATACAATATATATTAATCAATTTGCCCCAAGCAAGGCAATAACTCTAGTAAGGTACAAGGGGCAACTGGAAGTGAAAGAGAAGGAAAAAAAACATTTGAAGGAACCAAAAACCCAATAATAGTATAAATTTTAGAGTTTAGGTGGAGGTGTTAGAAGCATAGTTGAAGTAGAATTTACATGGAACTGGAAATCTACTCCTAAACCGTAAACAAGGGATAAACCTTTGCTCCTGTTCAAAAGACAAGGGAGGAGTGTGAACCGGACGATAAATGATCCTATCTACTCCTATTATATATATGACAAAAAATATAGTTTTAAATTATGCTATATTCATGGGTAAAAGTGCTCAATATCTGGGCTAGAATGTCTAAATATGTGAGTGGATATTGAAGTTAACTCCAAGTCATGAGGCTTTGTTTCATACTTAAATGCAATATGTGTTGGGTGGTATCTGTACTATATATGCTTGTCATTGTGACATTATCAGTAGCAAGGTCATGTATTTCTGGTTTGTGTTATTTCAGTGGCTACTGAATAGGTGTGAACAATTAATTTTTAAATTATTCTAGTGGCTAGTGAATAATTATGGGCCAGAATGCTATTGTTTTATAGCTATTTTTTTGGCTTTGTTGAAGATGGTTTTCTCCAGAAAAATTGTCAGGTAACCTGTGGTTAATTGATTGTGGGATCAGCTTGATTATTATTGGCAGGTGGTTGGAAGATGTGTGTATGTAGAGTCATTTGTGGTTGGGTTTTCTATATGGCTGATATGTGCCTTTTCTTAGGTTGAGTGTTACATCGAGGAAATCTATTTCTTTTAGGTTTCTTTTTATGTCTGTCAAATCCTATATGTTTTAAAATTTTTGTGATTATTTGTATGGTTTTTGTCTGTTACAGTTTCTGAGGATTACAAGATTGTCATTCTTCTAGAGGCCTATGTCATTTTTGTTGATTATTTTTCCTTAGACATGTATACTACAAGAATTATCAGCTTGCAAGTTTTGGCTCTGTCAAAACTTCCAATTATAACATTGAATATTCTTTTTTTTCTTTAGCCAAGCAATATCATTGTTGATATATATATATATATATATATATATATATATATATATATATATAAATCTGTTAGTGGAAAGGATAATCTAAGTAGGTCTTTTTAATATAAAATATTAAAGATAGATCCATGAAGAGAACTCATTCTATTGTATATGGAGCAATATGATATACATCAAAGAAAAAAACTTAATACATCTCAAAAGATCCAATAATAAATTTATTTTGACAGGTAAGTTTTTAATATCTGCCTCATCAAACCAGGATTACAAAATGATTTAAATTTATCCTGACAATATTAAAAAAAAAAAAATTAAAATAATTAAATCACAAGAGAACACAAAGTAAGTGTAAACTGCTTGACCTAAGATAATTTATTTGTGGATTTATATTATTGAAGAGAGGGGTGGGGGAAGCAAAGTATCAACACAATGAGCAGAGGTGAAAGGAGGAAGTACAGATGACAATGAGTGAAATACTTTGGGATCAAATTAAAATTTAACTCCTCATCATCTAATTTACATCAAATAATAACAATGTATGCGTGTACATCTATATAAGTGTATGTGTTTGTGTGCATGTATGTGTATATATGTATAAGTATGAGTGGGTATTATTTATGGATGTATATATGTTTATCGTATTTATATATATATATATATATATATATATATATATATACACACACACACACCATTATATTGTGATTTATTTTTTTATTTTTTTTTTTATTTTTTTTTTTAACATATTGTCTGGATAAATTTAAATCATTTTGTAATCCCGGTCTGATGAGGCAGATATTAAAAACTTACCTGTCAAAATAAATTTATTATCAGATCTTTTGAGGTGTGCTAAGTTTTTTCCATTGATGTATATCATATTGCTCTGTATACAATACATTGAGCTCTCTTCATGGATCTATCTTTTTAATATTTTTTATTAAAAAGACATACTTAGATTATCCTTTCCATGTACAGATTTTATATAATTTGTATTGTGTGGGTATGTTTATGTATGTGTATGTAGGTGTTTATGTGTACATATGTTTGTGTGTATATATGTATACCTACATACATACATATATATATGTATGTGCATGTATTGTATAATTTGTTCACTTGTGTGTTTGTATAGATGTATATTTTTGCATGTTTTTTATATGTATATGCCACACACACACACACACACATATATGTTGTATTTTATAATTATGAAGATGAATTATATTGAATTTAGGTTTTCGTTCTGATGAAATAAACAAATGTTCATGATATAAAAATTATAAACAAAATGCAGAATGAAAGTCTCCATCTTCTTATCATTACAATGCTCTGTAGTCTACATTGAGCTCTCCTTGGATTTATATCCTCCTTGGAATTATCCCTTCCAGTCACAAACTGGTAAAACATAACCATGTTTCAAAAACTGAAGCTAAAAACTTCAGATTTAATTTATGCTCTGTAAATTTACATTGAGCACTGTTTTATAAAAATAAGAAATATCAATAAGAACACTGGATTATATATCTTGCTGTTCTTTATGATTTAAATTTTGATTTGATTCCAATGTATTTCACTAGCTGTCATTTGTACTTGTCCCTCCCACTCCTGTTCATTGTGTTGACACTTTGCTACCCTCTCTTCAATAATATAAATCTACAGATAAATTTTTCTAGGTCTAAGCAGTTTAGACTTCTGTTCTCTTGTGATTTATAGATTAACTCTTCAACTCTTCCTCCTAGCAATTTCACAATGCATGGCTGGTAACATGAACTGGTGGCATTGGAATTACCTGAAGAACAATCTGTACCCTGTCAGGAGTTCAATCCCAAATGTGACTGTTAATATACAGGGTGTGATGAGCCAATTGCCACTATTTTATATTTTTAATTTTGTATATGCGTGTTTGTTTTTGATTTTGCCGACTGCACAGTATAGTAGGGTCAGTTGGACACTGAGAAAAAGAGCACTATGACACAATTCACTCTGACATAAATTTGGAAATGGCATGCTGTACTACTTGGCATTTGCACCAGAAGCTACAATATGAACATTTCAGTGTTTAGGTGTCAATCTGAGGACCGTGCAGAGGATTCAGAAAGAGTTGGATGAGGCTAATGGTGATTACGAAAGTGTGTGGAGTGATTGATAGTGATGGTGACATTATGCTTCCATTCACCTTCCCACACAGCCTCACTCAACAGAGAGGCCTACATCAAGTGTAATTTTGGTAAATTTATCTGTTAAAATGAGATATCAGTGTTATTTTCAATCTTGTGTAATTTAGATGACAGTTTATCCATCGCACCCTGTACACTAGCAAATGGAAATCATTAATGTCTAGTTTGTTGTTGGCCTCAAAAAATCTCCTTCATTTATTTATTTTTTTGTTCCTATGTGATCAAGAGTGCTGCTTAGAAGACCTGACTTCAAAGGCTTTATCCAATTCACAGGCCAAATCTGATAGATTTTCTTATACTCTGGTCTATTAAGACTAGTGTTATCTTACATTATTTACATTATTTGGACTATTGTCCTCATCTTTGTTGCCATATTTATTACAACATTTCGACCGTTGTACGCTCCGGCCTTCTTCAGGTGGTTGGAATGTCGAATTTCCCTCAAGGACACATGGCACAGTGGATAAAGGCGTTGTGATAGATCCAGTGACAGGACCCAAAGAGTGTGAGTTCAATACCTGGTTAAGGCAGTGGAGAAATTTCAGAGGGAAAATTAACAGGAGATAACTGATAACTGACATCCATTAAACATGGCATGTGGAACTAGAACAGTCTTCCCCAGTGAGCGAAATAAAGTGTTCAGTTCGACATTCCAACCACCTGAAGAAGGCCGGAGCGTACAACGGCTGAAACGTTGTAATAAATATGGTCACAAAGATGAGGACAATAGTCTGAATAATGTAAATAATGTACGTAATACCTCATCTCAGAAATATAGACAGATGTCCTTATCTTAGTTGTCATGGTCATATAATGTTGAAACACTGGTTCCCATACAATGACCAAGTCTAAGTAACGCTGAGCCTGGTCAGTACCTGGATGGGTGACTGCTTGGAAATATCAGGTGCTGTAAACTTGGTTGTGTGGGTGGTGTAATGTTCAATGTCTCGGAATTGTTAATCTGAGAGCTGAGTTCCAATTCCAGTTGGGTTCATTATCCACAAATACCCTTAAAAAAGATATGAATCTACCTTTTCTCCCACCCTTGGCTATGGGTTAATTAGTAAGACTTGTATCACTAAATCATTATCATCTAAAAAAAAAAAAAGAAAAAAACAGAAAAAATTCTTACAATCTAAAAAGTATTTCTGGCTTTAAATAACCTGTAAAGGGTTGATAAGCCATAGAAAATGAATCGGTCAACAATCTTAGTTGTCATGGTCAAGGTTTGGCCAATATAGCCACAAGCCTTCTCTAGGTTGGACATATTCAGTAGCCTTCAGGGACATCCAGTCAAACCCATTATTTAGACCAAAGGGGATTGTTTTCATTCCGTTTCTCCATGCTAGGAGATATTGCTGTTAATTCTTAATTAACTCTTTCTTATGATGTTATTTTTGCTTCTCCAATTAGGCCTAGTAAATAAAAAGCCTTAGTTAAGGACATCTGGTGATTGTGAGTTTAATCATGGGGTTAGGCAGTGGAGATCATTGACGGTGGAGGGAGGAAAAATCACAAGGACTAATTAATGAAGAATTAATTTTATATGTGTTATCTCCCCTTGTATGGACAGTGGAAGGAGAACAATCTGTAGACTGAATAAAGAATTTAGTTTCAGATTCCTAGAAATTAACTGAATAGATACTAAAAGAAGGTTGAAAGATACAGTGGCTTAAAGCCTGACTATAAACATTGAAGATGAGGACATTCCTCTGAATAGATTAATATATGATAATTCCTAATCACAGAAATACAGAGACAACAAAGATGAGGATACTAGTCCAGATAGATCCATTTTGGGTAACAAATTATATTCCACCTTACAACCTCTTTCTCAAAGATGAAATGTTGCGAGCCTGTCATTGCCCTATTGTTATTTCCAGGGGGAGTCTTCAGATGAAATTACCCTGATCTTTTTTTTTTTTGACTATTAGTTTGTATATGGACAGGAGTTGCTCAGTCTTCACTTTCTAGTTTCAAGAGAGTCCAAAAGAGTCTCCGCATCTTTGTGGGTGACGAATTATTTTCCACTCTAAATTCCCTTTCACACAGATGAAACATTGCAAGTCTCTCACTGATCTACAGCTATTTCCATGGAAATTGTTCAGATGAACTACATTCCTTAGTTTCACCAGTTCAAACCTTCACAGCTAACACCTATCATACCATGCACACCCTCATTTCCTTTGTATTCCATTGGTGAGATGTAAGTTCCAATCAGGCAGCTTCTTCCCATGAACTGTTGTTTTGTGGAATTAATTCCCAAGAGGATGCTCCCCAAATGCTACAATCTTAGCCTGTTCAAGTTTAGGGTTAACCATTCTTTCTCACATATCTGTATAAACTGTTCCTCTTACTCTGTAACTCACTGGGTTTATGACCATATCATGTTGAAACACTGGTTCTCACTGAAGTTAAGCAATGTTGAGTTTGGTCAGTACCTAGATGGGTGACCATTTTGGAATACCATGTGCAAGTGGTGTAATGGATAATGGCTCAGAATTGTTAATTGGAGAGCCAAGTTGCAATTCCCATTGTTTTTTTTATATTCACTTAAGTGCAAATAATCTTGGAAAAGGTATTAATCCACCTCTCTTCCCCCCCAAGCTATGGGTTAATTAGTATGACTTGTATTGCTAAACCATTATTATAAAAAAAAAAAAATTCTTACAATCTCAAAAAATATTTTTTGCTTTAAATAAAGTGTAAAGGATTGTTAAACAATAAAAAAAAATCAATCTGTAACCCTCTACTTTGAGTGGCTTTTGGGGCTTGTGTAGGATGAACCTTGTAATAAAAAAAAATGTGTGATAATTTTTCATTTTAGAAATTCAAACCAAAATTCTGTATATTTTATGAAACCATCCCTTTTTGATTGTCTTAACAATGAATCCTTTATTTCATCAGGTGCAGTTGAGGCCCAACAAAGGCATTCCAGTTCCCTAAGTAACAGCACAGATAGTTCCATGTCTGTTGAGTTGGACCAATCTTACTTCCACAGTTTCTCCAAAGACCTCTTGGTTGCTGCTCTGAAATCAAGACTGTATGAAAGCTCTTGCATTCCAGATTACAGTGGGGATGAACCAACGGGAAAGGCCTCTATCCTTCAGCCATTTCGCATTCTCATAAGCCTGCTCGACAAGCCAGAAATAGGACCTGTCATCTTGGAGAATGTCCTCTGGGCAATATTCCGCAGTCTCTACAGGGAGTGCAAACTGGCTGAAAGCTTCCCCAGTTACACAGCAAATTATCATTATCCTAAAAGGGACTCTTCTCACAAAAGGCGGGAATCCATGTGTCAGCGGGATGAGAAGATTGTGAACGAATTATTAAAGACGGCAAATTTATTGTTCAATGCATTTGAGCCATTTTTCATCTGGGATTTCATTGGGCGAATGTTTGAAACAGCTTGTCAAAAGCAGGACAAACGGGTGATCATTGACAGACAGTCATCTCTTGAAAGCACCACAGACATACCAGACTTTGTGGAATTATGTGAATTGAGTAACTTTCTGTTGGATATTATCTCTTTAGTAAGTATACTGAATTGTTTATTATATTTCAAGAAGAAATTACATTATAGATGTTGAAATATTATATCCGTATTTTTATTTTTATGCAAGGTGTGACTATTAAAATACCGAGACTGGCTTTATGTAAGTAAAGATATATCATTTACACGATTTATATTTGGACTATAGTTCACGTCTTTGTTGTTATTACAACATTTTGGCCATTATGTCCTCTGGCCTTCATCTGGTGTATATTGATCTAGGTTACCTGCAGGAAATTCTAAACTGAACCCATTATTTAATTTATGGGGATATACTGTTCTTGTTTCACTACTCATTCACTTGATTTCCAGAATATGTCTCACCAGTGTTGAGCAGATCATCACATGCAAAGAAAATTGACCTTGCCATAAACACCTCTTGCAGAGTGAACAGCGAGTGTCTCAAGTCAACCAAAGTAGATGACCTTTACTTTCTTAGTGGCATTGCTCCCCCTTACATAAAAAGGATAGTGCACTCCCAAATGGAAGTAGAAGCAGGAAATTGACCTTCATCATCCACTCTACATCTGTGAACCATTGACAAAGAGGCTCAAGTCAAGATACAACTTTTTACATTCAACTGAACCACTGAACAACAGAGTTCCTTGTCAGCACATTTCTCTGTGTCTCTGTGGTGCAGCCACCTTAACAACGTAGAACAGAGGCTCTCAGTCCTGCAGAATTCCTCTGTCTCAGCTCCAGTGATGCCTAGCCCTTCTAGTCTGATGTAAATCGCCCCCAAACAGCTGTTGGTCGCTGTAGAGCCAACCTTAAGAAATGGAGATATGTCACCAATGTTTATTCCAACTGCCAATGCAGACAATCTTCTAGTTTGCCCCATACTTGAAAATCCATGCACACTTAATGACCTTGAAACCTTAATATCCCAGGCAAGGTTGTGTTTGCAACACTGGATGGATGTGGTGTAGTAATTCAATAAGAGGACTGCCTATGTCAATGGATATCGTCTAGTTCTTATTTTTTAGCACTCCTCAGATATAGCGTGCCTGTTTTCCATTGAGTCTAAGTACACACTGCCACACTCGTCGGATTGAACCCACATTGTCCTATGAGACAATGGCTTAGTGAATTAAAGTGTTGGTATATGAATCTGATGACATATTGATTAATAGTCTTCATGTCAGAAATTCAGACAGAAATTAAAAATACATCGTACATATGCTAAGCACATGGTATACATTGACCAATAGGCAAGTATAATCATCATCAGTCTCCTGACCAGGAGTGGTTATCAGGTCACTGTGCAGCTAAGCACCTGACCATTTCTCTCCATATGTATGGATTGAAAACTGATAGGGGTATTCATTCACTTATGCATGCTTAGCATGTCTAAGGCAAGTAAACCTGGTGGGAATACTCCTTCTCCAGGTTAAAACACAACCCAATGTTGTCCAACTTGAAGGCTCATCTCGATCATGGAAATGTGGCCATTGATTCCATCTGAGGAAACCTCCACCTGGACTGCCGACTTCAGTTGAAGCACTCTGCCTAGTGTTGTTGGCTTACTAAATAATTTTTTTTCTAACAAAAGAATTGAATTAAATTTCCAATGGTGGGGTTAGTTTTTTAATTTGAGCATAATATTAATTTTGTCATTGTCTTTTAATGCTACCAGCCTCCTAGAGTGTATTTTTATGCACAAACAGGAACCTCAGCCAGTTAAATTTTGAGCATTGCATCAATTTGAAACTTTTACTGAAATTGAGCAAAATAGATATTAATAGGTATTGACTATCATTATAAATTACCATTTACTGGACACCATTCAGAAAAAGCAGTAACAAGTTATTGCCAGCTTACTAAGCAATTTTTTTTTAAACAAAAGGAAATGATTTAAATTTCCAGTGCAAAATTGTCACTTGAAATGTAGTTTTGTGAGGAAAAAAAAAAAAAGCTCTTGATAATTCAATTGTTTTGGTAAAATATAATGAAAAAAAAAAAAAAAAAAATGGTCATTGCCCACTTACTAAGTGGATAAGTTGCTACCAATTTCCTTAAGCAGATGATAAAATGTTACCAGTTTCCTCTAAGGATATCATGGATCAAGCATGTGAACAATGATGAGGTTTTGGTGAGGTTGCAAACAAGGAGGAAGCTTATACTTAACATCAGGAAGAGGCAGCTGAGATTTCTGGGACACGTAATGAGAAAGGAAGGCCTGGAGAATCTGATACACACAGGTCAAATAGAGGGAAAGAGAGACAAAGGAAAACAACACATGACATACCTAGTGGGCTTAAGCAAGTGGATGACAGATGATAACCTGGAGGAAGTAGAAAAGGGACAGAACTTATTGATAACTACAAGGGATAGGGGCAAGTGGAGAGCCATGATCGCCTACGTCCTGAAGGGACATAAAAAGAAAAAAACGTGTGCCTAGTAGATGATAGTTATGCGGAAGTGGGTGTCAGTTGTCCATATATTTGAGTGACGCAGGAGATTTTTTGAATGTTTTTCTAGAAAAATAAATAAAATGATTTGTTTGAAGTGATCAGTGACAGAATGATTACATAAATTGTCTTGATTTCACCAAATATCTAAAAAATAATGCAATGCTTGATTTTTGAATTGATCATTTTTATGAGACATCAAGAAAAACAAGGTTACCTTGAGTGCAATATAATCATGTACTGAAGATGAAATTCATGCAAGCATTCTGCAATTCAAGTTGTATAAGTTGAGTTTTCTTTAATTGCCATATATTGACAAGTACAGGGCACTTTTTTATGGGTTTTGTTGTAATCTAGGGAAGGATACTGAATAGAATAAGCACACAAAGGTTGGTAATAAATGATAATACTTACTACAAGAACAACACATAAAGATTTGCCAGCGGTGCACAGAAGTAGTAGTCAAATGCTAGAAGTGAGTCAAGTGAATTCCACAATGAATCTCCAACCGCAGACCAACAGACAGTATTTACTACCGTGTTTATGTGAGTGCGGACATACCCATTATTGTCTGTAGGTAAGCTACAACAGGCATGTTGCAATTACTAGATGTATATTTCATTGGATTTTAAGAACTTGAAAAGAATAATACAGGATGCATCAGAAATACCATCCATATTTCAAAGTTTGACAAAAAGATCAAGTTATTTGAAAAAAAAATATTTCACTGTTGTTTAAAAAAAGAGCTACAGTTTTTATTCAGTTGGTTTTAAAAATGACATCCTCAAAATGGTGGCTTCTCTTCATTGTAGATGATGATTTCTAATATTTTCTATCACCCAGAAGTTCAAGCACTTGGAGATCTTCCAGGCAGCTTTTTTTTTTTTTTTTTTTTTAAGCACTGAACCTGTGGCTCTGAAATTTTTTGACCCATAGCAGTATTGGTTTTCTATCTGCAACAGCATCATTCCAAATTAACATGAAATGAGCATGAAAATTTCTCTTTGTTGCAATTACAGATTTACCAGTCTTAGAAAACTTTTCAACAGCAAATGCATGGTAAGATATTAACTAGATGAAGACACTATTGCCATTAACCTAAATTCTCTATAACGCCACAAGTGAAAGTTTAAAATGTGGCAGGTATTTCTGCTGCACCCTGTACTTTGACAATCCCACCACATGCAATATTACCTTACTTGTATGGAAACACCAGTTCCTGTATGACCACCAAAATTGAGCAATGTAGAGCCTAGTCACTACCTAGATGGGTGACTGCTTGGGAATACCAGGTGCTGTAAGCTTGGATGTGTGGGTGGTGTAATGGATAATAGCTTGGAATTGTTAATTGGAGAGCTTGGTTCCAATTTCGGTTGGCTTTGTTTTATTCACTTATATGCAAATACCCTTGGAAAAGGTATGACTCCACCTCTTTTCCACCCCCATCTATTAGTAAGACTTATATCACTAAACCATTATGATCTACTAAAAATTCTTACAATCTAAAAATATTTTCTGGCTTTAAATAACCTGTAAAGGTTTGATAAGCCATAGAAAGCAAATTGATCAATCAATAAAATACTCATTAGCTACACAAGCATGTCTTTTAGATTTATTTACATTCTCTGGAATATAAATGTATAGAAACAACAGTGACCAAAAAGTGAGGGATCCGTTTTTGTATTGATTGTAATATAGAATCGATCTCCCACTTTATATCCACATTATAATTTATCAGATTCTGATAAGGTATGAATCCCCCCCTTAGCCATTGGGGTAATTAGTAAAACTTGTATCATTAAATCATTATTATCTCAAAAAAATATTCTTACAATTTAAAATTATTTCCTGGCTTTAAAACACCTGCAAAGAATTGATAAGCCATAGAAAGTTAATCAATTAAAACTGTTTCTTCTGCCATCCTGGGTAAGAAAATAAACTACATCTGACAGCAAGGCCTTCAATTAGAAAGTTTTGAGGAATCTGGAACCACCTCTTAATTGCTGGTGTTCCCAGGTCCACCCTGATCCAGGGTGGTAGCACTGGTCAGGGTCCCAGCTATGGGCAAATAGCTAACTCACCAAAAGGAGTCAAAACACTCTGAAAGTATAAAAATAGGTTTTAATGTCAGCAATACGGTTTTGAAAAAACATATATTACCAGCAATACATTTTTGAAAAAAAAAAAAAAATATTACCAGCATTAAAAATCTTGTTGGCATTAAAAAACCCATTGACATTTATATGCCATAAAACAAAATAAAACAAACCAAACCATTTTCATAAGTAACCCATTCTTTATGAGCTGATATGTTTCAGGAACATTAGTGATTACAATTGGTTTCCCAAAATGGAAATTATCTCTGCCTCAATCTAATTGTAAAAAATTAAAGACAGTGCTTCATTTAAGAAATTTAAATGCTTATTTAATTATATCATGTATTCTCATTGTATTGTACATGATTTTCATTTGGTTTTGTCCTTTTTCTTTTTCCTCAGGAAACCTACTTAGAAACACAGACAGAATTTTTGCCAAAATTGTTACGAAGAATGATAACCTCGTTGATTGGTTTCAGTGATAAACTCAGGAACAATGAGATTGTGTGCAGCTTGAAATTGTGTGGCAAAATCCTCACTCGTGCTCAGCCGTCCATGACTGTGATTGGTGTTGATGAGCAGGGTAAGACTTCAGACAGCTCCATTGCTGGCGACATCAACAACAAAGAAGCTCCAGCAGAGGATGAGAACCTCTCCGATAGCTCTGGTAACATGGACAATACCACTAGTAGTGACAGTGGTAGTGAATCCGACCCAAGTGCCTTAAACGATTTTGAGACTCACTCTAGTCCACAACTCTTCCGAGGAGCAAGAGATGCTGCCAGTCGTAACCAGATCATGGACATGTCCAAACGCACACCAGCTGACACTCTTGATCATGTAGCTAACCTTAGAGCATCATTTTACAACAGAATCAAGAATTCTCCAATCAAGTCTTCTGACAAAATGGTGGGAGCTCCTTTGACTCTCATGCAGGCTTGTGTCCAGTGCTTCCAGAACTTTTTTCACATATTTGTATCGCACAAGGTATTCAATGAAGACAATGGCATTCGAACGTTCCTCGACTCAATCACTGTGCCATTGGACCTGATACGGTGTTCAGACAAGGATTCTGTGATTGGGAGTTCCTCCTCTCTATACAGTCAAGATGAAACCCTGCGTAAGCAGAGCATAGAAAATGGACCTCCTTTGCGGATTGCTATTCATCAACTGAGTTCAGATTTTTGTGAAGCATTCATGTGGGCCTGCCGACTGCTTGTCGAGTTTGCCAGTTTCCCAGTATACTGCACTGATTATCACAAAGTATTAGAACAGTCTTTCCAGCAAGGTAAGAATTTATTTTAAACACTCATTACTTCTTAATGGTTTGGTGAATTTCATTTGTTTTATGCATTGTTGTGTCTAAACCAAAGGAGACATTGGCATCAAGAAATGCATCAATTATGTAAAAAGTAAAATGAAAGAACAGACTGAATTCAAATAAAATTATTTAAATTAGAAAGACCTGTGAAAATTTCAAGATTTTCCTATTTGAATTTTTTGATGAATCTTAATTCTTCAGTTAAATAATTAAATAAACTCATGGTGAGTTCTACAACAATAAAATATCCTTAGAAATTCTCCTATCACATCGTTAAATATTTGAGATGAACAACTTTAAAAAAATATTGCAATAACAATCATAAATATGAATGCTGGTCATTATTTGAACTTGGCAACTTTTTCCCATTTCCCTGAAACAACTATAAAACACTTTTATCTTCCTTTCCTTTTTTTCTTTAATTTGAGCGTATGTCTTGTTTTTCTATGCAATCAAAACTAAATAGTCCATTATTTATGAGGTATATTTGCAGGTGACATTGAACACTTATCTTCCCTTTCTTTCTAGCCAAATCCCCATTTTACAAACATTTCCTTTAATAATAATAATAATTCAGCAGACAATGTTATTTTATGGTAACTGTATTTTTGGCAATTGCCTTACTCGCTTTACATTGTTCAATACTGAAAAATGGCACTGTTATAGCAGTTGCCATTGTTTATTGGCGTTTTGTCTAAGATCAAAGCGTAGTATCTGTTCCTGTCAGCTTAATCAGATTTTCTCTCTCCATTTCCATCTTCTCTTCATTCATTTTCTAACTGAAACATAGTAGTGTCTTTTACCCTCTTTCTACATGATCAAAATTGAATAGTCCATTATTTATGAGGTATTGGCAGGACATAATGGCCGTATGAACTAACAAAGAGAGGTGCAAGCACAATTATAATAGGATGATTCTTAATGGTACAAAATTTAACAAAAAAATAATAAACTTGCGCTACTATCTGTGTCTTGGTGTATATTTTTTTGTTTGTTCCTTGTCTATTTTAATTAATTTATCTAAAAGCTTAATACAAATCATCAAACACCAATAATATTTAATTATTGGTGTTTGGTGATTTGTATTAAGCTTTTTCATTTATGATTAGTAAATATAGTTTTCACTTAATAATAATATCCTCTAAAAAACTGAAATTATTACAGAATTTAAAGATTTAAAACTCAATAAATTTTTCTAATTAAAATTTAAAAAAATTGCAAACAATTCTTGTAAAAATTTATTATTCATCAAAAAATATTTTTTTTCTAAAGACAATAGGGTTCTTATTTATATTATTTATAAGAGAAATTAAAAGCTTCTCTAATTAAATATTGTTATAGTTTTATTGCATTTTTTATTTTAAGATTCAGAATAGATTTTCAATAAATGGTGATTGTATTTGACAAAAACAAATTGAGGATTTAAATTCTCCAAGGAGTCCTGCTTTTAACTAACATAAATATGAAGAGATTCAAATTTTAATTTCTTGAAATTTCACAAAATTATGTTAGTGGGGGTAACAAATGAAAAAAAAAAATTGCAAAGTAATTTAATTCATTTGTGGATAAGACCTGAAAATTTCATTAAAATATGTCAATTATTTGTAGGAATTTTTAAAACAATGTGTTTTTAACACCAAAAAAAAAAAAATGCTAAAATTTCCAATACTAATCTTTGGCCCCCCTGCTGACTCAAGAAAAACAATATTTTTAACCTAGATTTTGAATTTGCTGTAAAGGATTAAAAAAATTAATAATGTAATCAAAAAATACTTTGACCTTTCCTCTTAATAATAACAAACATTTTGATGATAAAACTTTGTTTTTTATCAAGTTTGGGGCCTTTTTCATCTTGGTATGCTCTTTTTGAGAAAATTTTTAGAGGTACCTAAAATATAAATACACACACACACACATATGTGTGTGATGAACTCTCCCATCATTTTCAATGTATGAGTGTCTTTCAGTTCAGTTTTTATGTTTATGTTGCATATGAGACAACAATCCTACATGAGATTTGCAAACAAGTCTGCATGAGGGACATGCTGAAGGGTCGACCGTCATATGGACTGATGTATTGGCCTGAGATTTAATGTTAGTTCTTAATTCTCTCAGAGAGTTAAAGTGATTCTTTTCAAAGTTAGTCATACCTCGGTGACAAGTGTTTCTCCACTCTGCTCGATTTTCAACAGCAAGTTTGCAGCATTTAAATTGTATTTGAGTTTGTCCTTGAAGCAAAACCAAGGATGGCCTACATTATGCTTACCATAAAACAATTGGCTATATATGAGGATTTTTGGCAACCGATCATCACTCATTCTGGTGACATGACTATAGCGAAGAAAACGGCGACTTACCTCGTCAAACCAAGCGACAGTGTGTCACGTGTATTCTACGACAGAAAATGTGGTGAAAAAGAAAATTACTTACCAAACAAAAGGGCACGTATATCGCATGACATGCTGAAAATGGAATATTTGAATTAAAAAAGACAAGTCCGTCGCAGGAGTTGCTGTAAAAGTATGTTGATATGCAAATTACTGAACATCCTCTCCAGTTGTTGACGTTATTTTTCTGACTGGTTGCGTGCATTGTGATTTGTGAAATAGTACTTGCGAATCGAGTTTTCGGCATTTTCTTTCTGTTCCCGATGTTCGAGTCTAAACTTAGTGATTTATTCTCAGTGATGTAGAAATAATCTGCAACAAACATTTCCTTTGCAATCCCAGATCGCTTACAATGACCAACCCATCTGAACTGTGATTGCATCAGAAAGGATTCAATGCCACATTTGATGAAAAGATTAGGGTTAGAGATTTTGTCCTGCCATGTATAACTGCATATTGAACAAAGACACTGTTTATGAAAAGCGTCAAGTTGATTGTTGTGTCTGTCTGTCTGTGTGTGTATGTGTATATATAAAATGTATGTATGTGTTGTGGGTGTGTAATGCAGTACAAATGATAAAAATGAAATACCCCGGCCATGTGTTATTTGTAGAGGACTTGTATGGGACTTGTAGATCTTTTAGTGCATCTTCTTTTGAGGAAATTATTGTTGCTTTTCTTCATTATTAAAACAGCATTAAAGTTTCAGTTAGCATACAAATGCGTTGAGTGTCTTATTAAATTTTAAGTCCCTTTTATGTTTATATATTTTTACTTAAATTCCATATGTTTCTTGGATATATTATTGGTGTGCATTATTTTCATTCTATTTGGTAAACTTGTGCTGTTGCTGTCACATCGGGGTCTGGCGCTTCTGTTATTTGGACATTCTTTATAAAATACAAAGGATATTCTTATATAGGAATAAAGTGTTGCTGCCGACATTGGAGTTTGAACAGAGATCACCAGAGAGCAAACACAGGTGATCCCATTTTGAATAAGTAGATCATGTGATCACAAAGGAAATGTATATATGGGAATTAGCATGCCATCTAAGTGATCACTATACAGAATACTATTCGGTACTTTTCAAGCGAGTATTATCAAACAAGTAGTATTAGTGCGAGTGACACCAGTGTTGTTCAACGATGCTACTATAGTTGTATCTGCAATTACAGAGTCTCTACTACAATGAGCATCACAAAAGTGGCAGCGAGTGTCCGTTGACATCACAAAAGTGGCAGCGAGTGTCCGTTGACATCACAAAAATGGCAGCGAGTGTCCGTTGACATCACAAAAGTGGCAGCGAGTGTCCGTTGACATCACAAAAGTGGCAGCGAGTGTCCGTTGACATCACAAAAGTGGCAGCGAGTGTCCGTTGACATTACATTACTAATATGGCAACTGAATAATTGAAAAATGAACTGAAAAAGAGTTTTCCAGAAGTTTTTCAGAAGATCTAGGGACATGCATGAAAGCAAAAGGTAAGTTTGAGTTAAAAGACAATGTAACACCGACATTTATACCAAAAAGGAGTGTACCTTTTGCAGCTTTAGATCCATGAAAATGTTTCACAACTTCATGCATGGTAAAGAATTCATACTACAGACAGACCATCGTCCATAGTTGTTCATATATGGATCAAAAAAGGTGTTCCCACACATGCAGTGAATAGACTGCAGTGCTGGGGAATTATCCTGTTGAATTATAAAATGGAATTTCTACTATCCAAACAATTAATTCATGCAGATGGATTGTCTAGACTAAAACCAAGATTCTGTGAAGCACTTGAAGGCACAGAATGGCGGCAATAAGGACTGAAAATGAAATTAATAATGTATTATACAATACTGTAAGAGAACTTTCCATAACATTGGGGAAAATAAAAATTAAGGTGGGAAAAGATGACTTTATAATGAGAATGAAGGAGAAATTAAGATCTAAAGGAAAAAATATTGGAAATAATTCATTTTCATTATGTAATGATGTACTTGTGTACGCAGAGAGAGTGATGATACCAGCATCGTTGCAAAGATGTATGTTAAAAGAATTTCAAAGGACATCAGAAATTTGGTAACTGTATGCTCTACTGCTTGACATTCGTGCCAGAAGCTCCAATATGAACATTTCAGAGAGGTGTGTCAATCTGAGGACAGTTGGATGAGTCTAATCACCTGCCTATGAAAATATGGCAGCTTGAAAAACTAGCTCTGATCGTTCTGATGAGAAAAGAACTCCTGGATTTGTTGGTAAAGGCCTCAGACTTGACACAGAGGCCTACATCAAGTACTTTGAGGAGGTTGTGATGCCCTGGGTCAAGAGGGTGGCTGCTGGAAGACTCTATATCTGGCAACAGGACTCTGTACCATGCCACACAAGCAGGAGAACCCAGTCATCGCTGTCAGGCAATTTCTGCAAGCACATCACTTCTTACATCTGGCAACCTAACTCCCCAGGCTGTAACCCCGTTGATTATTATGTGTGGAGAGCAGTTGAGCAAGAGACTAACAAAACTCCTTGTAACACCAATGATGAACTGACGGCAAGGATTTTGGCAGTATTCACCAACTGAAACATAGAAACTGTCCAGAAGAGTTGCAGGAGATTCTGATGTTGTCTGGAGGCCGTGGTTGAATCAAAAAAAAAAAAAAGTAAAAGAAGGAAAGTAAATGTTAGTTTAGTCCAAGAATTTTTCGATTTTTTTTCTAATGCTATATCCCTTTTGGACATAGGCAATCATAGCACTTCACAGATAACCTTTTTATTATCTTTGAATTGCCATAATTGCCAATGGTTTCCTGTTGTTTTTGCCATGGTTAAAATTCAGAGTTGTCTTCTCTTAGACTAGTTGCCATCCAAGGTTAGAGATCCCTGTCTACCATGCTATTTAATCTATAGCTGGGGGAAACAAGATGGTTTCATACCTTTTACAAAGGCATTTGTGTGAAAGTCAATGTTACAGTATCAACTGGATTTTGAACTTGATTTGCCATTCTCACTTTACATGACAATGACTGCCACACTATACAGTCTAAACCATTAATACTGACCATAAAATCTGGTATTATTAAAAAAAATGATTAAAAAACAGTATCAATTATAGGTTTGTAAAAAAAAAAAAAAAAAAAAATTCATTACCAGTTATAGGTTTGTTAAAAAAATATATTATTAATTAAAGGTTTATAAAAATAATTAATTATACATTTGTAAAAAAAAAAAATAAAAAATAAAAAAGTACGTTATCAATTATAGGTTTGCAAAAAAAAAAAAATCATCAATTAAAGGTTTTTCCTTGTAACCCATTTTTTTGGTATCAATGGATTGTTACTTTCATCAAAGGGTTTTTTTTTAATATCCAGATTGCAAATGAATTATTATTATTGTCCTTACATATGTCAAATAAATTTGTTTTTTCTGTTTTTCTTTAACCAGAGGAAGATTCCGTGCTGCCACCATGGCTACAGGATCTGATCATATGCAGTTGCTTTGTGGACAACTTTCATATCCAAGTGGCTGCTATTTCTACCATGTTGGATTTGATCAGCCTGACGCAGTCTGTGGAATGTGAGTCCCGCAACAAGGACGATGGTGACCGCAAGTCATCCTCTGGCAATGGTGGGGGCACAATATCAGTGGTTATCCTGCCCGCACTCTTGCCCAGACACCTGAAGTACCTCAACAACAACACCCTTTTCTATCAGGTAAAAGAATGTGCAGGTGTTGAGAATTCATCTGTGTGGTTTTCCAGCATTTTAAGGACAGTCTTCCTTGCTCTCAGATTAACATGATTTTTGTTTTGTTCATAAAAAAAAAAAAACCTAAAGAATTAGCTGAGGGATAATTTTGAATGACATGTGCAGGTAGCTATACAGTAAAAATGTGTTCACAAAACATATTGTATTTATTATATAAACATGAAGGTATAATACTTACTGTATACCTACTTTTGCAGCCCCCTATATAGTAACTATTTTCATTGGCATATTATTAACTATTAAAATAAAATTCAGAATATATATATATATATATATATATATATATATCACACATAAAGTGGTGGTGTTAATAAAATAGTGCTTAATGCAAGATAACTATATATTAATAAATATACATTTTTTTTCCTCACCAGTAGCACTAAGTCAGTCTTAACTCAGTACCTGAAGATTGCATTGTGCATGAAACTCTATCATGCTACTGGTGATGAAAAAAAAAAAGAGAAAAGTATATATTTATTTATATATTTAGTGTATTGGGGCAGCAGATCATTATTCAAACATATTGTTAAATATAACAGAAAATGAATGACTATTATGTTTGATCATGAGCCGTTCTAACCTTCATATATTTGCTTTAATTTTGAGTGAAAATAACGACAAAAATTTTCCGACATTTGGATATTTTTTATTAAGCTGTTCCTTGATCAGCTCACTGATATTTAAACAAAGATATTCACATCAAAGATGATATCCTATTATGTTGACATAGAAGATTGCTATGCAATGATAATGATTTATGTAAAAGAGAGAGAGACATCGAATTTTAGAAAAAGATCGCCATCAGGCTAAATTGGTGCTAAGGGCCACCCAAAAAGAAGCAGAAATATAATTTAGTTTAACACCACCACTTTTAATTTAGAGGTGAAAATGAAAATTGGTATTATAATCTTAACATTGTTAAATAAGCATTTTCCCAAAAACTCTGTTTACAGTGCTTTTAATAAAAACACTAAGAATTAGTTAGAATTGCATAAAAAACATAGGGAAAATAATAAAGGGGTAGAATGATAAAAAAAGATTGGGTATGAGGAGGTGTGACACCCATCGCAATATGTGACGTCCACTGGTTGCAACGTCAATATATGACACTGCGCCGTTGAGCCATGGTCAACTCCCAGTTGTGGCGTGAAGCTGTAAGGTTTCTTCCACCAGCATTTTGGGGTTGACTCCTTGTTGCTGCCACCAACCTGTGTCCCGGTCAATCAGGTCGTTTCCGGTTCAATACCAACTTTCTCGTTCTCAGCTTGCCTCCAACACTTGGTCACCGAAGTAACTACTTTGATCTCAAGTCTAACCTACCCACGTTGTGATTTGATCTTAGGTAGACGAAATCAATCAGGTGTTGGGCTGTAGTGCAAGCGTAAGTAAAAGAAAATAATAGAACAACTCAAGAGGTTCAAATATGTTGAGAAGTAACAATTATCTTTATCTGTTGAATACAGGAGCGTGTTTCTCTCCCAGCTTGCTTCTATAGATTTGTGTCACTTTTTGCGTTTCTTAAGCAAGTTATGGTATCTTAAGTCGTTCGTCAATAAAAACTTGCTTTTGGTAGGAAGAATAAGTTGAAAAGGACGTAGAAATCTTTCAGTCAGCTTCTGCGAGGCTGGTCTCCAACTTGTTTACAAAATCCTTTTTTTTCTTTTTTTTTTCTTTTCCTTTGGCCAAAACATTTACAAATCCCAGATTGCCGAATAATTCTTATCACATCTTAATTTTGGGGACACTCAGATCCACTTAGTCAACTTTTAACTGGGTGGTCGTGTTTACCAGATAATTAAATTCTTTTATTTTTCTCATGCCTTAAAGTTCTCTTATCACCAGATGCTCATTTTCGAGACGCTATGTCTGACATCAACAGTTTGAATAAGCAATAATAATGATCCCCTTTTCGAGTCTCTTTTCATATCAAGATTCATGCATATACCAGATGGCTTCTCTTGCTGGAATCAGGAATTAAAATTAAATCTGAAAGATAATTAATAGCTATTCTCCAGGGTGGTCCCAAGCCAAATTTCCTCCATGGCTGCATGTGTTGGCCAGCTTTCCTTTTCTATCTGAATTCTGTTTATATATCCACTCCCTTATCGTGACATTAATTAATTTTGACAGAATCACAGTCTCACTTTTTCTTACAGATTTTCTGTCTTTTGCGAAAATTATCTTTCTTTTGCAAATAAAATAAATTCTTCTTTTTAATGTTGCTCAGTCTATCTTTCGATATAGCTCTTTCTCGCCTTAAGTATTTCCCATTTTTAATTTCTATGGTTAATTAGTTAGCCAATTACCATAGCTAAATAGTATCACACAGGTGTGAAAGCAGCTGAGAAAAAAATGTCACATTTTAATCATTTCACACCAAGCAAGGTAATAAAGCCACTAGGATGCAATGGGTTACTGAGAATATGAAAAAAATATTATTAAGGAGAGAGGACAATAAAAGAACAAGAATTAAGAAGACAAGATAACCGTTGACATTGCATTTAAAACTGCCAAAATTGTCTGCTAAATGATAATTGCTTGGTGCAGGTGCTTGTTTATAGGGCAAAATTAGAGCCAGTAAATGACCAAGAAAAGTGTAATTATCAACAAGATTTTACAACTATAATAAACATTTTTCTCTGTCCTAGGATGTGTGGATGGTGTAATAAATAAGAGCTTGGAATGAAAAATCGGAGAGCCAAGTTTGAATTCCAGTTGGGTTCATTACATTCACTCACTCACACTCTTTTTTTATAATTATACCTTTAACCTTGGAAAAGGTATAAATCCATCTCCTTCCCTAGCTATGGTTAAATAGTTGTACTTGTATGTAGAAAACTGATTCTTAAAACATTGTTATTGCAGTACTGACTTGTATTCTTACAATCCAAAATGTTTGAACTTTAAATAAACCACAAAGAGTTGATAAGCTGTAAAAAAAAAAAAAAAAAAAAAAAAAAAAATCAAATGTTTAAATTTTAAATGGGAAAAAATTATTTCAATTTATATTAAAAAATTATGCTCCGTGCATAAAAGGTAAAATTAGTTATAAGTGGCATCTGTGTTATCTGCACAACACAAGATCATGTATTTTAGCTGCTCTCTCTTGCCTCTTCTATTCAAGATATAGTTATCATCTGGCGACCAAAATGCAAAAATAAAGGAGGAATGGCGCATTTATACTAATATAATATAGGGTGGGGGGAGATAATATCATGAACATTAGTTGGCAACATTCTAATCTAACTGAATAGTGGGGAGGAGGAGAAAAATAATAACTAAACTGGTGGCAGATAATATAATAGGTGTCTAAGATTATAACTATACCTTCAGAGTAACAGCTTGAATTTTATCTCTTTTTGAGATTTTTTATATATATATATATATATATATATATAAATAAAAATAAATGTTGAACTCTCCCATCATTTATCAACGTATGAGGGTTAAGCAATTTCTATGAACCGACAGAAAGACACCTGCACATATGATTTGATTATAGTGGTGAAGGCTTTGTGCAGAACCAGCCACACTTTTTGAAGAGCTGAATACGTCACTGTGCCTCATATGTAAAAATAAATAAATTCAATTAGAAAACAGACAACCTTAAGTGTCCATTGATTATAATTTATTTCCCCATGTACGTGGTTTTTTTCATCAGATCACATTTCCAAGGGTGGAAAAAAATGTTTAAAAATTTAATATTATTCTTTTGAGGGGTAGTTTTAAGTTGATGTAAGGTGATAGAGGAGGGGGAAGAGTATGACAGATATATATACATATATTTATATAAAGCTGTAAAAATACGAATCAATTGACCAATCACAAAAACAATCAAGTCTATAAATTTTAAATTGAAAAAGATTATTTCATTTTGTAGTAAAGTTACTGCTTTATACACAAAAGGTAAAATTATAAGTTAACTGGAGTCTGTGTTATTGATTTGAGACAAAATCATGTATTTTGGCTTCCTGTCTTTGCCTAATATGCATGCGAATCTTGGAAATACACCACAAAAGTTATTCCACTCTTAGATGTGTTACATTTAAGATGCCTTTGCAAAATCCTAAAGGTGTCTTAGAGTGATAGAATCAGGAACAAGGAAGTGCTAAAAATGTGCAAATTCTAGAAAACCTGAGTGTAATGGTGGCAGATAGATGGATACATTTCATCAGCTATAGCCTGTGACTACCTGACAGCCAGCTAGTGTTTCTTTAAACTGGATACCTCAAGGCTGTAAAAGACCAAGGGCTAGTCATAAAATGACAGAGCATTTTACAGTTAGAGAACTGAAAAAAAAAAAAAAAAAAAAGAAGGAAACACCAACTGATTCCAGGTTCTGTGACTAGCCAACAAGGAAAATTGTGGCTTTTTGCTGTGCTGGAGGAACAAAGTAGCAAAGTAAAGGTCTTTTGTCTGTAACCATAAAAGCAAACAAAATTCTTCATTGCTGTGCATATATTTTATTTTATTTTATTTATTTATTTTTTTTTTTCAAGCGTTTCACCCCAAGCAAGGTGGGAAGCCAATAGCATGCAAGGGGTTACAGAGAGTTGGAGCGAAAGCAAATAGGAGTGATAGAGGAAAGGATGAAGAGAAGGATAGGGGATAGATCAGGGCATCTGGAGGCATCGATTGACATTACATTTGAATAGTTGGAGATTATAGCTACCAGGGAAATAAGAAATGGGGAGAGAGTTCCACAGGCGAGAAGTGCGAGATGTGAAGCTATTGGAGTAGAAGAGATGGCTACATTTAACAGTTTCGACAGTGAAAGGGTGAGAGTGAGATGCCAGACTAGTTGAACGCTTGAATTCATGAAGTCTGGGAACCAGCGAAAGCAGCTCATTGGAGCAGTTACTGTGAAAGTATTTGTAAAAAAGACAGAGGTAGGTGATGGCATGTCTGTGAGAGAGCGACTGCAGACGAGATGCCAGATCAGGGCCAATTACGTTGCATATCTGTCACTGGATCTTATGAAGAACCTTGAGACAAACATAAGGTGCACCAGACCATATATGGCAGCAATACTCCATGCAAGGGCAAATGGTTGATTTGTAGATTTGAACGATCGACTTTGTCAAGAAAAATTTCCTGGTGTGGCACAGGGAGCCAACTTTCCTTGCAGTGGACGAAGCTATTGACTCAATGTATTTGTTCCATCTCAGGTCAGCAGTCAATGTGAGGCCGAGTAGTCGCAAAGAGGAGCTCTCAAGAAGTTGAGCATCAGATATTCTAATGGGGTGCAGGGGTGGTTCTCTGTGGTGAGTAATAGAGAGCAGTTTTGTTTTTGAGGCATTAAAGTTAACCAGCCAATTCCTGCCCCAGTTCACAGTCATATAGTTAAAATCTTGCTTGTCTTTGTATCTATCTACCTGCTTTTTATTTTTTATCTCTTTCATATCTATGTCATTGCTATAAACAGTTCTTGTTAATGCATTCTTATATTTTCTCTCATTGTAGATGGTAGCACGGAATTTATGGAATCAGCTGAGTGAAACAACTCCAAGCAACCATCAGAGAAGTGTGGAGTTGTTTCAGCAGTTGCATCAGGTGACTCCGAACAGCTGGGTGTGTGAGGATGTTATTGGTAGTGCTTTGATTGGTGATGGCCAGGTGAGTAAAAATGTTTAGCATTTGAAATTTTTTTTTTTTTCTGATTTGCCACTAAAGTTTGGTTTTTCAATGTGAAAATATGTGCGTAATTGAAAGTCAAAATTTCTTTTTTTTTTATACATTTCACCTCAAGCAAGGCAATAAAGCCATTAAGATGCAAAGGTTTACTGAAAGTGAAAGAATCTAAGAAAAAATCATTATTAAAGAGAGAGGACAACAAAAGAACAGAATTAAAGGAAATTATGATTGATATAGTATTTAAATTTTTGTAGATCACAGTTGACCGGAAAGCAAGAAGCCAGAAGAGAGTTCCACAAGTAAGAAGTATGAGAGAAGAAATCTAGCATTGTGCTTAAATTCACAAACCAAAGAGGAAATCTGATCAGAACAATTGCCAAAAAAATATAGAAAAGGCTCAGGGAAGCTACATGAGGGCAGTAGGAATGTGACTGATGGTCAGGTCCAATAATATTGCAGATTCTTCTTTGGATTTTATCAAAAATCTCTAAATACATAGCAGAATCACTGGACCAATGTGTTTTGTTCCTGGGAGAAACTTCTTGAGAGCTAGACTAACAATGGTTTTGTTGATAGTCTTACACACACACACACACACACACACACACACACACACACACACAAGGTGTATTTCAGCAGCAAGAATTCTTTCAAACATGTTTCATTGAATAATATCGACAAGTTCTATTAAATTTGTTATGAACTTTTTCAAATTTCTGAATTAATTGTTTTATATTTAATGTAAATTTACCAAAGTTCATATTTTTTCTTTTATATATTTTTTTTTCCTAGTATTTCTGAATGTTGCTACATTTGTTTTTAAAGGATAGTATTTGGTGTATATTTATGTAACTATTTTTGGTTAATACCGGTGTTTGCTCTCACATTTTTCTGAAGCCAATTCCAAGTCACTCAAGGTGACGCCATTTAAACAGTCAAACTGGAGTTTTTTTGTATTTTTTTTTTATATACACACATCGGTACATGGAACCCTGTGGAGAAAGATCTTATTTAATGTCAGCTGTTTCTCTTTTTGTTGTAATGCAAAAGAAGAATGCTGAAGATACAGGAATGTTTAGCTTTAAATGAATATTTTTTTTATGTCTTGTATATCTAGATCAATGATTTCCAACGTGGGGTGTATGCCTCACCGATGGGGCATGGTAATATTTTAGTGGGGTATGCATAAGATGTGCACCCTTCGGCTTACTATACCACCATGATCTCAAATTTCATTTTGCATTATTATTTCATGATTAAAATGATCAAAGTATATCATAGAATAAACTTTCATTCAAATATTTTATATTTCTACCTTTCAGTTCTCTATTATATGTTTTGAAAACTATATATATTTAACTGTCTTTTTGGTTTTTTTAATTTTTCTCTTTCATGGACTCCATGGTCTTTGGACGCTGGTCAAAAATCAGTTGGGATCCACTGATCTAGATGTATAAATTAGCAAATCTCAGTCATTTATCTGTCTATCTATTGTTATTATTTTCATTGCTATTGTTTTGAAATATCCCCCATTGTATCAGCATTAGTTTTGTTAGAAGAAATACAGTATATAAAGGTGGATGAATACTGATACAATGAGAGATAAAAACAACAGCAATAAAAGCAAAAACAAAAGCAATAAAAAGCCAAATGAATTTTGTTGAGATGCATTTAAATAATTTAAAGCTAAGCATCTCTGTATCTCTAGTGCTTTAAAAGTAAAATGGTAACTGGAATTTGTTCTACGTCTTCTCCACACACACACACACACACACACACACACACACACACACACACACAAAAGCCAGGTGACCAAAGAAAGAAATAGTAAAAAGAAAAATCTAACAACCAATAAAACAAGAACCAAGATAAAAACATGAAAAAAAGGGAAATAGGAAACAAACTAAGAAAAGGCCAAAAGACAGACATAAAGTACTCTATGTCTAAATTACCAAGACAGAGCAAATACACTTCCTTCTCAGTGTCATGACTCAAAAAGAGACCAATTTCAGACCATTACTCTAGTTTCATGCTACTGTAATCATTGGATGACCAGAATGCAAATGAATAAAGGAGGAACAGAATATTTGTACTAACATAAAATTGAGGGGTAAGTGGAGAGGAGGAAAAAAAACATCAAAATTAGTTGACTACATAGGTGTACAGAGAAAATAAGCAAAGAGAAAAACTTATTTATTATGGACTTATTTGAGTCTGAGCAATTTTAACCAAATAGTTGTGGGAGAATCACTAGTCTGGTGGCACATGGTCCAATAGGTTCCTTCACCTTCAGAGTATTGGCCTGAACCTTGTCTCTTTCTGAGAGAGAGAGTGAGTGAGTGTGTATGTGTATATATATATATAGGCCTGAACCTTGTCTCTTTCTCTGTGTGTGTGTGTGTGCAATATGGATATGGAACCAAAGACAGGAAGGAAAAAAAATAAAAGGATAGAATTCAAGAATCTGAAAACAGTTTCTTTTTGCTACAGCCAGTTGTTTTGTTACAGTGGTTGAAGGGAAGAGAGGAAGGAAGCATATCAAAAACTTTTCAAAGGAAAATACAGTTGTTTTTGAAGGTCCTCTTCTTAATGGTTGGTTTCCAACTTCAACTGCCTCTTGGATACGATGATCAACTAATCCGGCAGAAAAACCTCTGATCAGTAGGTTTTGAGGAGCATGGAACCACTTCTTGATTGCTGATGTTCCCAGGTCCACCATGACCCGAGGTTATAGCACCTGTTAGGGTCCCAGCTATGGGCAAATAATTAACCCCCAGACTAGGATCAAAACACTATGGAAGTGTAAACATAGGTTTTATTAACCAGCATTTTTTGAAAAAATCATTACCAGCAATAAAAATCTTTACATTATTTCAACTATTATCCTCATCTTTGTCGCCATATTTATTACAACGTTTTGGCCGTTGTACACTCCGGCCTTCTTCAGGTGTTTGGAATGTCAAACTGAACCTTTTATTTTGCTCACTGAAGTAGACTGTTCTAGTTCCATGTGCCATGTTTAAGGACACAAGGCACAGTGGATAAAGGCATGGTTAGATCCAGTGACAGGATCCAAAGAGTGAGAGATCAATACCTGGTTAAGGCAGTGGAGAACTTGGAGAGGGGATTTAACTGACATACATTAAACATGGCATGTGGAACTAGAACAGTCTACCCCAGTGAGCGAAATAAAAGGTTCAGTTCAACATTCCAACCACCTGAAGAAGGCCGGAACGTACAATGGCGAAAATGTTGTAATAAATATGGCGACAAAGATGAGGACAGTAGTCCGAATAATGTAAATAGTGTACATAATACCTCATTTCAGAAATATAGACAGATATATAAAAATCTTGTCTACCAGCCATTGCAGTTGATATGCTGTAAAGCAAAACAAACTTAACGTAACCTCTAACTTCAACTAACAATTGAAGCAATAAATGCCTTGTCAGGGCTAATGTTAATAAGGCTAATCTGGTTAACTATTACGGCTGAGTTTGATCCTTACTGAGTGATTTATACAAAATTTAAGAATAAATATCCTAATAAGGGTTGACATGTCTTTAAATCAAACTAACTAACTTAACCAATTGAAGGAATGAGTAAAGAATTTATTGTTCAGTTTATATAAAAAGAATAAATTACAGAAATTATTCTTGTGAAACTGATTACAAATTCTTTTCATTTCACTGTTTTCTTTTATGTTTATTGCATTCTAGAGTAAACGTATTGAAGCCTTCCGAAAATTCACAACCCTTTGGCATTTAACGAGAGACAAGAAAACTTCACGCGCTCCTGGCATGCCTCTGAGGACTTTTGATCGGTAACTATTGATTCTGACATTAAGAGAAATTATGCAAGTTTTGTGTTTGTTATCCTGCTTTGTTTTATTATTTAGTCATGAGGAATTTGTAAATCTATTTGTAACATTGTGTGTTTAAATGCTATATATCTTTTCCTTGGTATTTAAATCTCAATTCTGCAACCATGTAATGTGTTGTCATGTGTCTGTGTTTGGGGAAACACATCAAACTTCAAAAACAACATAAGATTCAGTCAGATTGGTAACAATAAAACAATTGATAACAACCGATTTTCATGTTCTACATGTCTATAATGAATAATGCTGTCATGGCCTTGTGGGTGATGAATTATTTTCCAACCTACAACCCCTTTCCCACAGGTGAAACATTGCAAACCTCTTGCAACTTTATTGCTATTTTCAAAATATTGCATAACTGACAACATCTCATTTAAATTATAAATTCTATGGCAATTTGTAGAGTGAGTGGCGATGGTTAAATGTAAATAAATGACAAAACTGTTTGATAGACTTGACAAAGTTAGAATAAACAAGAAAAAGAAAAGAACAGCGCAATATATATATATATATATATATATATATATATATATATATATATATATATAAAAATAAAAAAAAGATAAGAATGCCGACTGGAACATACATGCGAGTTTAGACTGCCAAGGTCTTGTCAGTGAGTTTGTTCAGTTGAACAAACTAACTGACAAGACCTTGGTCGTTGAAACTGCGCTAGTGTTCTGGTCAGTGTTCTTAACTTTTTAAGATAGTAATCGCTCTGCAAGTTTGGTTTCCAACTTGAAATTGAGCACTTTTTAATGTGTAGGATTTTAACAAATATTTCGCTGTTTGTTTATTGCTGGCATATATATATATATATATATATATATAGATATAGGCCAGCATTTCCCTGACGATCTGTTTAGGTGAAACCTAGGTAGGTTTGCCTGGCTCTTTAGGTTTATATTATGTTTGCTCTACTTCGTGTATTGAGCACTTTACGTAGTTGCTTTTACTTGTTTTGGAGATTTTTTTTTCTTTGGACTCTGAGCTTGAACTCTGGACGATTGTTTTCGCATCAGTTTCATGTTCATAGTTCTTTTTTTTTATTCCTCATTGGGTACTAGTTTGTTCTACTACAAACCAACATACCCAAGGTTTTTCTAAGCAGTACCACCATTTATATAATATATATATATATATATATATATATATATATATTCATGAATTATTCATACAAAAACAAAAGCAAAGGTTAATGATTTAATTGGCGAAAATCCATCATCATAAACAATTCAAATAATATACAAAAACCTCCGAATCCGTTATGAATGAATTGATCCTTGTTTCCATAAATTTCTGCCGTATTAGTTATTTTTACTACAAGCTTTCGTCTGTTCCTACAGACATCTTCAGGTATAGAATAGATGTTGTTCTTGTTTTTTTTCTTAGTAATAAGAGGACAACGAAAATATATGTATTGTTGTATCCGAAAATGCTATTGAAAATGAGTTATTGTTTTTGGAGCGCCAGTAGCAACGCTGAGTTTGATTTTAAATTTTTTAAAGGTTGTGCGTTAGTATAAATATGGTGATGAACAAATTTTTACTGGTAAATTTTCTGTCAAAGTGGCATAAACTATATTGTTCAATAATTACAGTAATGTCGCACTTATTATCCAAAAGTCGCACTTGGATCAGTTATTTTAATTATGATAAACGTGCAATCAATTTACAAATTCATGAATTATTCACACAAAAACAAAAGCAAAGGTTAATGATTTAATTGGCGAGAGATCCATCATCACAAACAATTCAAATAATATACAAAAACCTCCGAATCCGTTATGAATGAATTGATCCTTGTTTCCATAAATTTCTGCCATATTAGTTCTTATTTTTACTACTATCACAAGGTGCGATAGATAAATTGTCGTCTAAATTATGCAAAAATGAGAATAACACTGACATCTCATTTTAACAGATATATTTACCAAAATTACACAAAAATATCTTGAAATAATAAAGAGTAAATTTATTCAATAAAGTTGCCATTGGCTTCAGCCACAGCCTCTAGATGACTTCAGAATCTTCTGCAACTCTTCTGAACAGTCTGCTTGTTTAAATTGGTGAGTGCTGACATAATCCTTGCCTTCAGTTCATCTTTGGTGTTACAAGAAATTTTGTTGGTCTTTTGCTCTACTGTACCCCACACATAGTAATCAAGAGGTTTGCAGTCTGAGAAGTTAGGTGGCCAAATATAAGAAATTGTCTGACAGCCATGACTGGGTACTCCTGCTTGTGTGGCATGGTGCAAAGTCCTATTGCCAAATGGGGTCTTCCAGCAGCCACTCTCTTAATCAGGGGCAGCACTACCTCCTCAAGACACCTGATGTAGGAACCTATGCTGAGCCTGAGGCCCTCACCAACAAATTCGGGAATTCTTTACTTATCAGAATAAACAGTGAGTTTTTCGAGCTGCTGTACCTTCGTAATCATCATTAAACTCCTCTAACTCTTCCTGAATCCTTTGTACTGTTCTCAGATTGACACCCAATGACTCTGAAATGCTTGCATTGCAGCTTCTGGTGTGAATGCCAAACAGTACAGCATGCAGTTTCCAGATTTCTGGCAAAGTGAATTGTGTTATGGTGCTTTTTTTCTCACGGACTGTGTTCAACTGACCCTACTATAGTGTGCAGACAACAAAATCAAAAATGACGCACATGCGTGAAATTAAAAATATAAAATACTGACAACCCATTGCACCCTGCACAGACACAAAATGTGGAAAAGGAAAATTACTAGTTAAATTTTTGTGTCACTTTTATTTTTTTTCAATGTTTAAAACTTATTCAATAAGTTGTAAAAAAAATGAATTGAAATATAGGTTATAAGACCATAATGTAATGAACATGATTTTACATTCATGGAAAAGTTGAAAGAAGACACAATTCTGTGGTAGGTTAGAAATAAAAAATTGATTTTTTTTTTTTATGTTTCTTGAAATATACTAAAAAATTGATTCTAGATGGTTTCACACTTCTCTTGTATATGTTAAATTAATGTTTAAGTTCCATAAGGTGAAGATAAATTTTAAAAAATTCATTTGCAATAAAATATTTAAGTCATATTTGAGTTTCAAATAGGCAGGCCAGGACTTTTGTGTGTGTGTGTGTGTGTGTGAGATAAAAAAATCCACCCAAGAAAACTTCTATTGAATATTCTGAAAATTTCCTCCCGTTCCTATTTTTAGTCTGTAAGCATTCTAGACAAAGGAATTTTTTTAATCATTTCACCCAATCAAGGTGATAAAGCCACTAAGACGCAACGGGTTAGTGAAAGTAAAAGAAACTAAGAAAACATTATTGGGGAAATACATGAAAAGGACAGAATTCAGAGACACAGAAAATGGTGATTGACATTGCATTTAAATTTTTAAAGTTGACTGGAAAGCAAGAAGAGTAAGAGAAGAATCCATTATCTTAAAAATTTGAGTTACATCTAGAAATTTTTAAATATTAATTTCTACAGCTATCACGTGACATCATGACCTACATTCGAAATTTTATATTCTTTACAGGTAAAGGTCTATTGGCAAGAGGCACTTATTGGCATCAGCTATTAGAAGCACTAGTATTTTATTTTATTCTAAAACTTATACGTGAACTACCGTAGGTACACTAACAGTTCCCTATATAGAGCTGCTGTAACGTTTGTTCTCAGTTTTGTAAAATGTTAAATTCGTTAGCTGCCAATCTAGTACTGTGTTTAAATTTGTGAATTTGATGCACCAGAGAAAAAGATCATTGGAACAGTTTCTGTGAAAATATTTGTTGAACAGGTATGGGGAAGCTACACTACAGCAATAGGAAAGTGACTGAAGCTGAGATGCCAAGTCAGGATTGATAACATTGCAGATTTTTCTTCAGTTTTTGTCAAGTATCTTAAGAATTCAATTTGACTATTTGATAAAAAGTGTGGTTGGAATAAGAATGTCCTGTGTGGAATATATATATTTTTATTTCTTTGCATTTACCTTTTTGCAGTTCTATGTTTGCTGTATTGGATAGTCTTCGAGAAGAGACCAGTTCAGCGAAAACCTTGGCCAGCACCTGGCTTATGCACACAATTCAAAGAGGAGGAATCTACAGAATCCTAGAGCCAATCCTGCTTATACTTTTACACCCAGATACTGCAAGGTAAACTATTTTGCTCACAGATTCTTGTAACCCTTAGATTTTGTTCCCCTCTCTTTATTTAAATAGAGAGATAGTGGCTTAGAATGGGAAATTGAAGGACTCGGTTCATTATGTTCATTTACATGCTAATACTCTTGGGGAAAGGTATGAATCCATTTCTCTTCTCTCCAGGTATGGGTTAATAGTAGATCAGGCTAGCTTTGGTTGCCAACCAGTTTAGGTGATGGATGATGTAAATTCAAAACACAAGGGTTTTTTTTTGAATTTGAATTGGGTCTACCAGCCTGTGCAAACTACGAGAGACTTAAAGAAAATTTGCTCTCTAGCAGGGTTTGAACTTGCATCCTTCTTTCTAGGAGAAATCATTGTCTGATCTGGCATGCTTTATGGTTCTTGGCCACAAAGAGTGCCAGATTAGCAAAGTTCAGTAATTCTTTTAAAAATTCTTACCTTCACGTTCAGCTTTTGAAAATCCATATCTGCTTGATTTTGTATCTGAAATTCAAACAAAGCAATATGTAAGGAATTTAAGGAATGGATTTTCTTTTTAATCCAGCATTATTTCTTAATATTCCAATGCTGGTTAGCACATTTTATTTATTAAGTCTCTTGAAAATGCAAACCAGTAGGCATAATTCAAATTGTTAAAAAAACAAAAAAAAAAACGGTTTCTACTCAAACATGGGTATACACTAAAATAATATTTGGAGTAATAAGATAGCTAATATATATATATATATATATATATATATATATATATATATATATATATATATATATATATATATATAACATAATAATCAACATTGTGTGGTTACAATCACTTTCATCCCTTAATCCTTTGACCCTTTGAGTTCCTGAACAATTTTAAGCCTTCTGCCTCAGCTCCTGAGTCAAAATCCGCAAATAGTTGGTATGTAATGTTTCACAGTAGATACAAAAATAGTTACAAGTGTTTACCAACTGGTGGCTGGGCATTCAGTAATTTTTTGCTACCACTGTACAGGCGGCGGTCAGGGCTCAAAAGATTAAACAATCATATATACCATGGTCTAATCATTGCTTGAGGTGAGAAACTGGCAATAAGCATGTAATGTTGATTTCTGTGTCTACATTGTTTATATTTACATATGTTCAATTCCCCAATATTGAGCACCCCCTCCCCCCACCAAAATAGCAAAATTTTTAACTTTGCACTTTATAAGGTATATCCAGAAAGCACCCAGATCATATTGAAACACAGGTTCCAGTATGATCACCAAAGTTAAGCAATGTTGCGCTTGGTCAGTACCTAGATGTGTGACCGCTTAGGAATACCAGGTGCTATAAGCTTGAGTGCACAATTGGTATAATTTATAATGGCTTGGAATTGTTAATTGGCCAAGTTTCAATTCCAGTTAGGTGCATTATATTTAATTATGTGCAAAGCTTTTTGGAAAGGTATAAATCCACCTTTTCTTCCCCCAGCTGTGGGTTAATTAGTAAGACTTGTATTGCTAAATCATTATTATCTTCAAAAAATTCTTACAATCTAAAAATATTTTCTGGCTTTAAATAGCCTTTAAAGGGTTGATAATCTGTAAAAAAAAAAATCGATGAGAAAGAATCCAGCCATTTTAATATTAATGGATGAAGAGCCTGTTTGAGGCTATGCTGCTTTAGCTTCTTTTAATGTGCTCCCCTCAGGACACTTAACCCTTGTGCTCCTTTCTAACCTATTAAGTAGTTTGTAAAATCTTTTTTGATTGTCATCAAATGGCTTGTTGTATTCTTAATCTTGACTATTGTCTAAAATTTTTGTATTAATGGCCGTGTCACCCTTGAGGTAAAACAAATGTCAGCGTAAGCTGAATGAAGCTTGTAGTGAGAGGGTGGGGGGTAGGTCTTGATGGAGCTGGTTGATGTGTATTGTCCTCAAAACCTCTGAACAGAATGTAAAGAATGAGTAGGATCAGTTATTGTGGATTCCATGTCATCATCATCATGAGGTGTTTCATGCAACACAGTTGCTAAAAAAAAAAAAATGAAATAGAATTAATGGCAAAAATACCTATCTTTGTCTTCATGGTTAGGGATATTGAAAGTACAACTTTGACTTTGGTAGTTGTGTTTGGATATGATAACGAGACATTAAAGAAGACAAAGTTTCTTATTTAGTCAAATATAAAAATCATTTCATCTAACAACCTCCAACTGTGCAGAAAGATGGCAATATTTCAATGTCCAAATTCTCTGACTGTCATATGTGTGATTTCATACTTACTGCCCACTGTAGCCAGTAGGTCACTTTATATACATTTTCTTTATCAAAGCCATATAATTTTTACTTGTATTTAGGTTAAATGGCTAGATCACATGCTTTGCATTCATTTGACCAGGTGTTACAGAGTTACTCACTCAGCAAGTTACTTCTATTCAAATTAAGGATACTTTTATTCAAACTAAAAGAACTATGATTCATTGAACAAATTATTTTATTCAATATAAAGATATCTTTATTCAAGATAAGACATTCAAAGCATTGAAACTGTTATTCACTAAAGATGTGAATTCAAAGTAATGATACCATTAATGAATCAAAAAATACTTTTGGTTTCATATTTTAAACTATATTTTGCCCATTTGTGTTGTAGGTAGATAAACTATTTTTTCTTGTTTGATATTAACATAGGTGCAGTTCAATATTGGAGCTTTGGCCAAACATTTTTCATAAAATTCTGTCATGTGAGAATAAAAACCATCGACATTTATAGAAAAATTCTTCAAAATCCAGAATAGGCTTGTTCTTTAATTGCTATGTATTGCATGAAATTTCAGGATCGTCAGGAAATTTGGCTTTCAAAGAACTGAAAGCCTCTTCTATTACTGGATTAAACATTGGACTAAGAGGTGGCAAAAATCTGACACAGATCATTACTTGTAATTTAATTTAGCATGACACTTGAGTGGTAGAATTTCAGATTGTCTACAGTGAATACAGGTTTCATTGTTTTGAACAAGAGTATCATTTATTTTGAATAAAAGAATTTGTTCAATGGAGAATAATCTTTTCATTTTGAATCGTATTGTTTCTTTTCGAATAAAAGTATCTTTATTTTGAACAGTAAATAAATCTATAACCATGATGTGTTCTTTTGAAACATTGCTGTGACCTTTTGTGGTTAAGTCATGTCACTGATAATTATTACAACATTGTTACTTTGAATTAATTTTATTTTTTCAGGATGTAAATATTCATGTAATATGAATTAATTTTAATTAATTCATATACTTTGAATTGATTTTCATTTTATTTTTTCAGGATATCTATTCAGCATGTAAATATTCACCAACCGAAAAAAGTGAAGTTATCCGATGTAGATGAGGACAAATCGGATACAAAGATTTATGCCATCAGCAGTGAAGGGGGTAATATCATCTACCATGTTAGCTCACAGGCCAAAAATATTTCCAAGAAGAATGTGGAGGAGCTTAAATCTTTTGCCCTGACTGTTATGAATGAGAAAGGCTCTGGGGTGATGACAGCACCAACCAGAGCTCAGATTGACATGCCCTTTGAAAGAGTTAATCCAGAGAATCTAAATCTCCGGATTAACCCATTTGGTGGGTCAGCAAATTCGTTGGATCGTTTGATATTTGATGGATTTGAGCTGCCACCCTCTGCTCAGAATTTTGACCTGGGTAACATTCGCCGACTGGACAAGGAGACGTGTGCAAAGGAGGGAATTTACTTTGACGAGAATGAGACTTCGGAAAGCACGGTGACAATAGATGACCAAAGCAGCGAGTCCAGCGAAGCCATTGTTAAGGAGATCCTCGATGAGATCATCGATATGGTCACGAGGGAGCCACTGCTCTCGAGCAAGGAGATTGAAATCACGGAAGATTTCTGTCTCCCTGATGGAAAACCTGATACCAATTCCAAAGGCAGTAGTATCCTCGGTGATGAGGACCTTTTGAACGCTATAGATAAAAGTGGTTTGGAAATAGACTCTCCAATGGGCAGTGAGATGGATTTGTCAAAACCTTCCGTTGGTCATGCTGGCAAAGATAGCAGTGCTACTAACAGTAGTCAGGTCAGTCAGAACATTGAACAAGAGGATGAGACGACTGGCATCCATACATTGCATATGCATGTACTTCTTTATGTACAGAAATATGACTGCCAACAGACATTGTATGCCTTGTCGACGTTGAAGTCCATGCTCATTACTTGCCCTCGTCTTATGGTCACTGCCATGGCAACGACCAGTATCAGTACGAATCGGTCACTACAATTACCCAAATTACAAATGCTTCTTGCTCGTCACCGTAAGTCAGTGTTTGGAAAGAATTTCTTTGGAGAGCTACCATCGGATGTTATGTCCAACTACCGAACAAACATGTATCTGGAGATTGTGATCTCTCTCTGTCTGTATTTCATCCGCTCTTACTATCCGAACCTAATGATGAGCAAGCTGTCTCTGGACGAGCTGCACGGCAACAAAGAGGTGCACATACTGAGTGCGGAGATCCTCAAGCACCTTGTGTCCGAGTTGATCAATATCATGAAGGAGAGTGGCAAGAGCTTTGTCTCCTACATCAGCGACCTGCTGACCAAATGCAAACTGCAAAAGGCTATCCTGCACTCAGTTCTTGCCAGTGTCTACAATGCTCGGCAAACCCCGAGCAACGTGCTGCAGCCCGTCAACTTCACCGAGACAATCGTATCGTTCAACGAGGACAGTCTGGAGGCAAGCGCCAACGAAACATTTCAGATTGAACTGTTGAATCTGTTGCTGGTTATGGTGATGCTGGAGGGCCAGATTCAGCGCATCAAAGGTGCTACTAGCACATCGACCACCGCAGTGGGTGGAGATGGAACCAGTGCAGACAATGTGCCCTCCTCGTCTGTAGATGGCGATCGATCTAAATCTAACATCCACTCATCTCTGCTGCGTGTGCGTTACAACTCTGGACTGCCAATTGTTCAGCAGACTATGTTCTTATCTGCTGTGCTGAGTGCCTTAAAGCAAGTGCACAGAGCTCACATGCACCGGCACTGGATTTCCATGATTACTGCTGCCCTGCCCCATATGGGCAAGGCATTGGCGTCTGTGGTCATGGTGGTAGTTTCTCAGCTCTGTCGTAATTTGGAATCTGTCTCTCTTTTGTACACAGCCTCAAAGGAAGAAAGGTAAGAAATTTTTCAAATTAATATGGAAAATGAGCTCCTTTGAACATTTTTTTTTTTTTTTTAAATGTTCATACCTGCTCCCAGACAAATAGGGTGTTAATGTTTGTCTGAAATATATAATCTTCAAAAATGTTTGATATACGTATATTGGTGTAAATAGGGTTCTTTTTAATCTTTAAATGCAAAATTGATATATTTTTGTAATTTTTTTTTTTTTTTAAACAGTGTTTGAAAAATTTCTTATTAATATTTACTACACTGTCACAACATATGTATAATACCTCTTAATTGCTGTCTTTTCCAGGTTCACTCTGACCCAGCGTGGTAGCATCTGTTAGGGTCCCAGCTAACAGCAAATAGTTAACCCCCAAACAAAAACAAAACACTATGAAAGTATAAAAATACATTTTTATATATAAAAAATTTTTTCAAAAAATTACCAAATATACATATTTATAGCAAAATTACCAACAATACCTATTTAAAGTATATGGCAGTGTTTCTCAACGTGTGTACACAGGCATGCTAATGTGCTCTGAAAGGTAGTCAGATGTGTCCTTAAGTTTAGAGAAGGGTAATTTATTAAATATTTTTACATGTAAAAAAAAAAAAAAAAAAATATTTTTAAAAAACTAGAGACTCCAAACACATGGCTTCCATGTCTAAATCAAGTCTTTGTCATTTGATATTTTAAACTGGATGCTAAATTCCTTAATCTTTAAGAAGGGGTGGATAATCCTTTGCCTTTTGCCTTCCTCGACAGATTTAAATAAGTCATTATCAGTCTCTCCAAAAAGAAAAATAGCAGATTCTTCATAAATCCATTTCAATGAAAACTCTACCACTTAAATATACGACGTAATGTCTTAAAAAGAAATGCTTATTTCAGGAGACTTTTTAAATTTAATGACTAATTTTTCCTTATTAAAATTTAAAGTATGCTTCAGAGTTTTAGATTTTCTATAAGTGCACCCTGAATTAAAAATGGTTACAAAACACTGATACATAGTATAGATGAAGTAATAAAATTGTGTTCAAAATATTTAGATTTTGGTATTAACCTTTAACATGCTACATTATTCACTACATTCCTTTCCATTACTTTGTTTTTCAAGGCTCCTCTACTACACTACTTAATTTGAGTCATGGTCATTTTCTGTTGCCATAGCAGGATATGACAACACTAACTGCAAAATACAAACATGCCATCATTTATCTGAGTCACTTGCAGTGTTAAAATAAAATTTTTGCTTTGCAAACAAAAAAAATCACCTCCAGAATGTTAAAGATTAAATAACCCATAGAGGTTGATAGGCTGCTAAACAAAATCGACCAACAACATAGGTGTGTGTGGGTGTGTGTGTAATTGATTTCTTTATTTTATTTTGTTGTTTTTTTAATTAATAATCAATTTTGATATTGACATTTTTTTTTTTTTTTTGTAGAAATGGCCAGCTAAAAAGTCTTCCTCCTGACCACATGTTGACCATGCTGGAAGGCCTTACAACAATTTGCCATTATTGTCTACTGGACAACACATCGCCGGTATCTATTAATCAACATAATACAGCTACACTGGGAACACCATCGGCTTCGGATTCTTACAGTGCAGGACAGATCATCACCAACCTCATCCATGTGTTCAATCCAGTCAGTACTAGTCGGGTATGCATGGTGCACCTCATTGTTCCAAAGGAGATACACAGCTCCAGTAAGACCTAGAAGGTTGTTAATGAAAGCAGAAGCAGAATTGGTCAAATGCTGAATAAATAGCCTAAATACTATGGGATGGATGCAGTGCTTTAGTTACCAAAAGTACTAATCTTGATAGGTGGAGTCTTTTTGATTGACATCTCCAATATATGAGCAAAGGGAAAAACTGAGATATATATAATTTAACACTTTTTGGCTTCATCAGAAATAGGGAAGCATGTTAAATTTATAAAAGTTCCCTTATTTAATCATTCTGCCAGATTTAATCCTTATTTTTTAGCTTGTTGGTAAATATATAAGACAATTTGATAAATTTCTGTATTGTTGTGTTTTGCTGATGAATTAGTGTCATGAAAAATAAATTTTTTGATGATACTGATTTTTGGGTGAAACATGTCAAAAACAGAAGTGTATACATATATATATATATATATATATATATATATATATATAAGTAAAAGGTTTGTCACTTATTTGATTGATATTACCTTCAGCATCCTTGAGCAGGGATTTGTAGATGAAGCCATCTGTTCACTTGTCAGTGGATATCAGCTATATATATATATATATATATATATATATATATATATATATATATATATATATATGAACATTGAAGTCAACACTCAGAGGTGACAGGCTGTTTCATGCTTGACGCAATCGTCAGGCTTGAAACGGCCTGTCGCCTCTAAGTGTTGACTTCAATGTTCACTTTTATATTTATATTTACATACGCTCTATCTCTGAGATTGAGCACTTTATCCCATAAATATAGCACACCTTAAAATTATATTTCTTATATATATATATATATATATATATATATATATATATATATATATATATATATGTGTATGTAATTTTATATGTGTGGTACTTAGTGGAAAGCACTCAATATTAGTGATAGTGCTAACATAATATGTTTCATGGATATGAGTTTGTAACCCAGGGTTTAACACTTTTGCAATCAAAATAATGATCGGAAAAGTGTGAAATCCGGTGTGACAAACCCATATCCATACAACTTATATATAGAGGGAATGTTTAAAAATAAGATGGAAATTGTCATTTCAATCTGAAGGTGGGGGAGGACCATTTTTGATTAGCAACTCTGAAAGGCGATAAGTATGAGATTATAGATACAGGTTATAGCTTGTTCATTCTTTTATTTTAACGATTAAGTTGAAAAGTCAGAAACCAAAATTTCACAGACGGAATTCTTGTTAACTTGGAGATGTTAAAACTTGAAGAAATTTTCATAACTCTCTAAAACGTTGCATTCACAATTGATTGGATGTTATGATATTAAAGAATATGGAGCCTCTTTAAACCATCCATTAGTACTGTCGGCCATTTTCACAGCGTTAATACCATGAGGCTTTTAAACACTCCATTTAAAATATTATAGCTATATCATTTAGTTATTAATTCTCTTGTTATATTCATATATTGTCTTAAGTGTTCTTTCTGGATTTTATAGGATTGAATGAAAAAGAAAAAAAAAAAAAAGAACTAAAAGTTTTAGTTTGATGAATGGAATTAAAAAATTAAAAAAAAAGAATTTTAAGTTTTGAAAATCACAATTTAGTAGGTTATTTTAAAACATTTTATGATCACTCTGACCCCCCACTTCAACTTTTTTTATTTTTTTCCACATTCTATGTAAGGAACTAGTTACTGCAATCTTTGCATTCATTTCTACCAAAATTATTAGCCTTTACTTTTTTTTTTTATCTATTTCACCCCCAGCAAGGCAGTAAAACCACTAAGACTCAAGGGGTTACTGGGTGTGAAAGAATTAGGAACAGAAACATTAATAATGGGTGGGAAGAGAAAAGAGTAACCAGGAGAAAAGCAGATAGCAATTGATATTGCAGTTAGATTTTTGCAGATTAAAGTTGACTAGAAAGAATGGAGCTAGAAGGGAGTTCTACAAGGGAAAAGTTGTAGAAAAGAGACTGTTAGCATAGAAGTTACGTTTACATCTAGCCAGCTTAATTGATGAGATCTCGACACCAGTCTAGCACTGCGCTTCAATTCAAAATGTCTAGGTACCATAGTGAAGAGCTAATCTGAAAAATTGACAAGTATTTATAGGGAGACAATCTTATGGCAGTGGGAAAGTGACTGAAGCTGAGCAGCCAGATCAGGACCAATAATATTGCTGATGCTTCTTTGGATTTCATCAAGGAGCTCAAGGTAAATTGCAGGATCACCAGATGTGGCAGCAATATTCTAAGCATGAACTAATGGTAGACATAGATATGTAAGATACATTCTGGAGAGAAAAACTGTCTTATACAACACAGTGAACCAACTTTCTTAACAGCTGATCTAGCAATGGATTCATTATAATCATTCCACTTCATGTTAGCTGAGAATGTTAGCCTGAGAAGGTGCACTTTACGGTCATGTACTGGTAATTTGTGCAAATATGACTAAAACCAGAAACTCCTTTTCGTACTTGACAGAACTATTCAGAAAGCTACTTGACTAATTATGAAAATCTGACTTTTGCTACTTGATGAATATTATTATTAAAAAAAAAAAAAATTGTAGAGCGTTTCTTGTGACAAGAATGATCTTGAACAAAAAGCCAGCATCTTCTACCAATAAGTAGAACTGAAGATAAACCTTTCCAAAACTGAAACTATGAACTAGAATAGGAATAAAGCAGTGATGGTGTATACCCTGAATCCTTCATAAAATCTAAGATGTGGAATTTGTAAATACTAAACATTTCAAATATCTTTGGGTATGGATCAGTTATAATAAATTTAGTATAGGTGATAAGGAGACTGAACATGGAATGTATTGTGCTAGGGGTAATTTTTCCCAACACTGCAAACTGCTACAAAACCAAAACATTAATCTATAACCGAGAGTAGGGTTCTTAAATAGCCTTGTCAGATCAAGACTTTCATATGGTGCCAAACTCTTTCAGGAATATCTAAGCTATTGATTATATGCAACTGCTTTCTGATGGTCAAAAATGGCTTCAAGCAAGTGAATTGTGTAGGCCCCAATATGGACTATCCTTCCTCAAACATTGTGGATTGGTATTGCAGAATCACAACTGTACCAGATAACAGAAACTACATTATTTGAAGACTTTTAACAGTGGTAACAACTAAAATGGATGGCACATATAACTCGAAGAGAGAATAATTACGTAATCAAGATGCTGACGTTCCACACTAGCTCAAGCAAAAAGCAAGGAAGGAAACCCCCATCAATACTGGAAAGCATTAACAGTAACTGAACTCTAAAAAGCTATTTTCCTGAAAAATTGTTTTATGAGAAAAATTTTTATAAATTTCAGCCAACAGTAAGTCTAAATGCTTGAGCAATGAATGCTAAATGTTTCCTTATGTGGACAACTGCTTTTCCTTATGTGGACAACTGCTAATATTACCATTGAACTGATTGAGGGTTAAAAGTTTTTTTTTTGTCAAGGAAGTCATTCATGATATGCATAAGTTTTTAACTTTTCCCAGAAAAATAAAGCATTTAACTATGATTTTTGTTGGCTGCTTTAAAGAAAGTGATGGGATGTATTGGTGAACTGTGTAAAAAAAAAAAAAAAAAAAAGTTTATAGGTAATTAATTGCTTTTAATTATTGATCTTGACCTGTTAAACCTTGAGGGTAGACTACTTGCCGATATACTATCCCTGGGTATTTAGGTTGATACGCAGTTGCTTATCCAAACAGCCTAGTTGTATTTACCTCTTCAGATAACTAGTTTGTCACCGTGATGAGACTCTGAACATTTTTCTTGTACACCAGTTCAAAAGGTTAAGAGACGAGTTTTTGTTTTAGAGTTATAAATAGATATAGTTTACTATGTTACTTCTATATTTAATAATATTTTAATAATATGCTTCTTTCAAATTATCGAGAAATAGTGCATAGCGTCTTCTGAGAGTTTTAAGGGCTGGTTTAGAGCTTAGGAAAAAAAAATAGTCACATGTGATTCGAAAACTACTTGATATTATATTGCTGTGTGTCTCCTTGGAGGGGGGCCTGTGTTGCTGAATGTGTTTGCTGATGATCCTTCCTGTTCTATCCAGGGACACCACCCTGGACCTACCACTCTCTCTCTCTCTCTCTTGTCTATCTCTGTCGCTTAACTGTGGCAGCTTCCTCTCACCAACTCAACATCTTTCCCCTGATTGCTTTACTCATTTCTTACAAAAGTGTTGATTTGTCTTCCTGCCTCTTTGATTGGCCAGCATCCCTTTTGGTTTTTATTGACATTGTTTTTTTTTTTTTTTCTTCTTCTCATGACACAAATTAACATAACTAAAGTTTGCTGCAGTCTCTTTAAATTTGCTTGGTCTGAGTTTTTTTTTTTTTCCTTTCGTTTTAACCTGCAGCTAACCTGTGGAGATGTAGACAAGAATATATTTTTTTTATTGAGTTTGCAGCTTTCTTCTAACAGGAGGGTGGGGCAACAAATAATACTTTGGTACTGCTTGGTCTATATGAAATCTGTCCGGAAAGAATCCAGCCACATCTCTAGAACTGGTTGTGCAACCTTGGTGCAGCTAATCAGGAGGAACCTTACTGCACATGCATGGGCAGACATGCTCATGTATCCTCTTTCATGCCAAATATGAATGCTGTCTGTAATAGTTATGCTAGTGGAAATTTTTCAACTTATTAAATAGATTGGTAATCATTGGTTTTTGTAACAAAATAATTGTGTTGTATATGGAATTATTTGAAAAAAAATAATAAGCATGTTATGCCAAATAAATGCCCTGTCTGGGCCTGGGTTTGGTAAATGGAAGAAAATAATTGAGCTAACACTTGTATTTGATAAATTAGAGTACTGTGTGACCATCACATTCATAATGACGTCCTGTGCGGGGTATTTTGTTGAAAGATAGCACCAATCAAGTTTATCAGTACCCCCAACTCTGTGTCACTTGATGACTTTTGGCTTTT